AGTAAGCCTAAGCTGGTCCCACCACTAGGCATTCGGATTAAACCCCACATTACAGCTGCACATATTGATTTAGATAATATTTCTCCTTTCAGGCTTCTGTCTTCCCCTCCTTGGCAACTTATCAGACCGGAGGTGGACTTGACTCTCACACAATTTAAAAAACAAGACACAAATCAATTAGTATATCAGCAAGAATATTTACAAGTTAGAGCTAAATACGAATCCCACCGTTCTATTTTTACAGATGGATCCAAGGACGGCAGCACAGTCTCCAGTGCTGCTGTCATTGGATCCAAAACCGTCTCATCTCGCTTACCAGACCATAGCTCCATTTTCACTGCTGAAGCCAAGGCAATATTAACTGCTTTGGAATATATCCAAAAACAGTACAGTTGTAAACGGTTCATCATCTTTTCAGATTCATTATCGTGTCTACAGGCAATCAAATCTAGCTCTTCGCATAATCCATTCATTTTAGATATTTTAGAATTGTATAATGACCTTGCTACTGGCCAATACGACATCGTCTTTTGCTGGTTGCCCAGTCATGTTGGAATCACGGGTAACACTATGGCTGATGCTGCAGCAAAGGCAGCTCTCAACAAATCTGTGACACCACTTCTACTACCATATAGTGACTATAAACCTGTTATTAGATCCTATATCAAAGACCTAATGCAGAAGAAGTGGGACACTCAAGTGGGTATAAATAAATTACATGCAATCAAAGCAACTATCGGTTATACCTACTTGGGTTGTCAGTCCAGATTTGAAGAGGTCATTTTAAGACGTTGTCGTATTGGCCATTCTCGTTATACTCATGAACATTTACTAAAAGGTGAGGATCCTCCATTCTGCATCCCTTGTGATGAAAGAATCACAGTCAAGCATGTCCTGCTTGACTGTATTGATTTTTCCATCACAAGGGATAATTATTTCCAGGTTTCATCTATGAAGGATCTTTTTAATATAGGTACTCATTTAATTATTGATTTTTTAAAAGAAATAGACTTGATTGATAAATTTTGATATGTATTGTTGTAAAAAGTATATTTTTAATTTGGAAGAATGAATTAATAACTGAGATTGTTAGTGGCTGTACCTTCAAAGGGGGTTGAAGTAACGTAAAATAATTGTCCCCCTGAGAGGGTACATAAGTCCTATTTCATTCAAAGTATTTCTCATTTTTCTTGGTTTTAATCGCAGAATACTTGTTTGTTTTTAAATGCTTTGGCTTAAACTTACTACTAATCACCAGTGACCAGAGGGATGGTGTAAATCCTGCAGGGGTACCATGCAGGAAGCAGATGCACCGTAAGTCCCCATGGTCCCTTGTGTGGTGGCCTAACTTTGGTTGCTGGTGATCTCTAGCCAACTCTTATATTGTATTGTATTGATTAGTCCAAATTTTATAGTTACTTACTAGTTTTATATTTATAGCTGTGATATTCTAGTTATTTTACTGTCCTTTGCCGACAGATTTTATAGGTTATAGTTATGTATTATTACTGTACAACTTGATTTAGTCACGATATGGCTGAAATATTGCCGATGTGACTATAAATCTTAACTCACTCACTCACTCAGAAAGCATAAAGTATTGTTTTTCGTGTTTTTATCATCGTTCGGAGATAACAGTCACACATTTGTTATAAAATCGCTTCTCTACGCTACTCGATTTCATACATGTTGTGACTGTTAAGGTATTGTCATCAATGACGCAATGTAACGTCATTTCACTACACCTGACCAAGCAGCATTGACAATTGTTTAATTGCACATGTAAAAATATCGGAAATATATTACACTCGTTATTACCCTAATGTGTCATATACATTATCATAATCAGTCGAACAAGCTAGCATTCAAATCGAACACACCTCTGCATGGTTTGACTGCCCTGTTTTATACACGGTTGTGTATACAAGCCATCTTTTATGAAGTACCGTTTGGATCAAGAGCTGCATTACACCAGGCAAGACTGCGTCAGGCAGTAGAACTTCAGTAATGCTGATGCAACATACGTCTATGATCATTGGTTTGAATGGTGATAATATGTGCTATGTACATTTTATGTAGCTATCTAAATGCCTAAAAGGTGTGTACCTATCTGAAACGTTTACACTGAAACGTGAACAAAGCCACACCTTGCTTGCGCGACAATGAATGTCCAGTGTTATTGACACTAAATATGCCCCTTTGAGATATTTAGGTAATATTTCTTCTCATGTGCTATTTCATATCGCAGTGGAGGAGTAGTTCATAATATTTACATGATGGTGTTTCTAATATGCTCGGGACTGTTCATACTTATATTTCAATACAGTAATTGCAAGGCCAAAACACCAAGTTACCAAAGGAGGGGATATCGTGATCAGGTATCGTAACTTCAGGCGCCTCTATCGAAAATCGAAAAGGTCCAACAAAAAGAATACCCTAAGGGAAATTGAGAGGTCAGCTGAACTTGATATAAATTCTTTTTATAAAACTGTTAGAAAACAACGAGGGAGGGTGGCCGAGATACCTATACTTAACTATAAGGATGAATGTGGTTCTACACCCTCAGCTATTTGCAGATTATGGGGTAAATATTTTTCAGATTTAGCCAAACCCTACCATTCCGAAGGATTTGATGATGTATTTAAAGAAGATATAACTAGTAAGGTACAGATATTTAAACAAGTACGAGAGAGGCCTGATGAGGAATTGGAAAAAGAATTTACATGTCAAGAGATAAGAGAGGCCGACAAATCCCTCAGCAGGAATAAATCCCCAGGTCCGGATAAGATTACAAATGAACATATTATCTATGCAGGAGAACATCTTATTTATTCCTTACGTATACTTTTTAATCATATGATGAAACTACAATATGTACCTTATGATTATAGACTTGGTATGGTCATACCAATATATAAGGGGAAGAATGAAAAATCTGACCCTCGAAATTATAGAGGTATTACTCTCACATCATGTCTCTGTAAACTCTTTGAAAAAATACTGCTCAAACGTATAGAAGACAAACTATGTAGACTTAACCCAGACTTTCCTGATATGCTACAGTTTGGTTTTAGAAAAGAACATGGAGCTATTATGTCAGTATTTACTTTGATCGAAGGCATTCAGTATTACATACAAAGGGACTCTGCAGTCTATGCAGCTTTCTTAGATAATGAAAAAGCATTCGATAGGATATGGCACGATGGATTATTTTACAAACTACATAAACTGGGCATTAGAGGTAATACATGGAAATTACTACATCATTGTTATACAAATATTTATGCTTATATTTCCTACCAAGGTGAACAATCAGACAGATATATGGTTCAACAAGGTGTTGGCCAAAGCAGAGTAATCTCTGCTTGGTTTTTTCTTGTTTTTATAAATGACCTCATTACAGCCCTTAGACAAGCACAATGTGGCATCCGTGCATATGGTATGGATATTCCTGCAGTCTTGCTTGCCGACGATACTACACTTATTAGCGCATCACCGAGAGGCTTACAAACATCCCTTGATATTGTACATACATATGCCTCAAGGTGGCGCCTAACATATAATCCATCAAAAAGTGCAATAATTGTGTTCACGAAAGCAAAACGCAAGGGATATAACTGTCATTGTAAACTTGGTAATATACACATCACTACAACTGACTCTACGGTGTATGGTGGAATACTTCTAACATACAATCTGTCCTGTAAAACAAGAATTGAAAAGTACTGTCAGAAAGCAAGACAAAATATTAACTCCCTAAGATCTTTAGGATTAAATAGTTATGATCTTCATCCAATTTCAAGCGTGAAAATATGGCTCAGAATGATACTCACAACCAGCCTTTATGGATGTGAATTACTCTATGACATCAAGGGTCAACATGCCGCTCTGTTGGAAGGCACGCAAAGATATTTTGCACGCATTGTACAGGGTCTTGATAAAAGATCTCCCTCAGAATCTACTATTTCGAACCTTGGACTTTGGACAATTACTGCATATATTGATAAATGCAAACTTTTATTTCTTGGTCGTTTATGCAATCTGAACTGTAATAACTTTGCAAAAGATATTTTTTGCGCGTCCATTGCAAGCCCTGTCAATTCAAAGACAATCTGTGGAGATCTTAAATCAACACTTGATAAATACAATCTGAGTCCCTTCCTTCGTGCATATACTCAGTATGGTACTTTCCCTCCAAAATTGAAATGGAGAAATCGTGTTAACGAAACTATATGCAAATACGAAGAACAATCATGGCTCACAAATGTATCAAATAACGCAAGCATGTCCCGTTATAAGAGAATTCAAACGAAATTAACATACCATGTACTTTGGCAATTAGCTTTTCTGTACCCGGAATATCGACCTGCTTTACAACTCTGTGTGAAAGTCTCATCACGTAGTAAACTTTCGAAAGAGTGCATGCTCTGTAATAGGCATGCTTTTGACTATGACAGCCACGTTATTTTACATTGTGAAGCGCTGATATCAGAAAGAAATGCGTTTTTCTCTTCTCTCATTGACGTACTTGACGTTAAAAAATATGTTGATTTTGAAATGCAAGATGAAACAGATATGTTATCAGTCTTATTTGGGGCTGAAACAAAATTTACTCACAATCTGGATCAACACACCTGGGAAACTATTATACTTCAGTTCTCCTCGTATCTGTACAAACTAAGGCATCTTTTGATATATATCTTCTAGTGAAAATCTTTCATCATTTAGGTATCTGAATTTGATAAACTGTGTGTAATTGTAAATATGTTATGCCTTTTTTTATTGTGTTAACTGCGTGTAATTGAATATATATTCATTGTAATCTTCGGAATCGCATCTGGAGGAAATAATGAATCTCTCTCTCTCTCTCTCTCTCCCAAAGGAGGGGATATCGTGATCAGGTATCGTAAAGCCAACCCTATCCATGTCTCAATGATAACATTTCATATGCTTTTAAATCAGTAAATATAAGGATAAAGGAAAAACAATATAAACACAAAGGCAACATAATCTAATTTATTTGTGCATAAAATGTAACAGATATATCTTGAATGTGAATAATGAGTTTATTAACTATCACAAGAATGTTACAAAAAGAGTCATTTGATTCTATCCGGAAATGAAATAGTTTATATCAATGTATATGTATCTATTGTTTCACATGCTTTTCTTAATTCTTACATCCTCATATCCTTGTGGGGATATTATAATTAATAACAGGATTATTACATTCAAAGACGGAAAGGCTTTCTGTGTCTGTGCTTCCAAAAACAGGTTTCACTCGAAAGATGCATCATGATTTTGTTTTACTCTTAAAGGATTTCTTAATGCTGTCATAAGCTTCAATAACTGTGAAGTTTACTGACATTTTTTACACTGTTTATTGCCATTTACATTGACATTTATTGAAATCACAAATTAATATAACTGATAATATATTATGCTATGCTATGCTATGCTATGCTATGCTATGCTATGCTATGCTATGCTATGCTATGCTATGCTATGCTATGCTTTGCTGTATCATATTATATTATCCCTTTTGATTTAAAAATGTACACGCAAAGAGTTGTCAGAGGAAGTGAGTAAGATTAATGTTTGGGAAAGCAGCCCAAGATGTCTCCACTTTGTTGACACAGCTCTACACAGCAAACTATGTCTCTGAGACTCTGAGTCCCCTAAGTGTTTTTTGGGGGTAGGCATGTGCATAAGCATATCGAACAATGTGTCAGTGACTGAATTCCTCAGAGTATGAACCTTCATCTGATCAAGGCTAGCCTGTACAATGTATAAAATCCATGATGAGCATGATGATCCGAAGTTCTCCTGTTTGATTTGGATTATTAAACCTATAAATAACTACAAAAACCATCATGCCTTTTGGTTTCACAACCATAAAGAAGAACAAGATACTATACTTCTGATTATTGACGGTGATAGGACCAAACGCGTAATTTACAATCATGGGATTATTCCCAAAGTACAGTAACTACATAGCATCCTGCTGGGGCATCACACTTGGCGCAGATATACTGAAATACCTGATTATCCCCGGGAAGGATATCTTACTCTTAGAATGTAAAATGCATTAAGTATAATTTTGATATATGAGATTGTGGAACGGTTTAGTAGTTGAACTAGTGTCATTTCTACTTCAGTATGTGATATGTTTTTAATACTGACCTTTGTCGACTGGTGTAATTATCTGTACTCTGATCTCGTCAATGTGTATCTGACACATTGCATGTGTGGTGTGAAATTCGCATTTTTTTTGTATTTTAAATCTTGCTTTGAGAATGTTATTGGAAACAAAAGTCAGTGTGACTTTTCAGCGTATTGTAGAACTTGGGCCTAGCACAAATTGAGATAAGCGTAGCCCCTCTGTATATAGCCAGTCGTGCTTTCGTCTGGATATGGTGTCAGAAATTGGCGTAAACTCCAAGTTTCTTCATCCTCCGCTGAGTGAAATCAAGACAGAATCTCACGTCAGTCTGAAAATACACGCGAGCTGAAATCAGCAAATGTGCACCCATGTTTGTAAGACGTTTAAAATACAAACATTTTAACATCTTGTTCAATACATGCAATTTTACCTATATCTGAATACAATTTCTATAAAACCTTACATTTGTGAATGAAATATAGATTAAGTGTGCAACATATCAGAACTGCAGCTGCCATGCGGTCAAGAGAACATACGAACAGCCATTGGTGATACCCTTGCACGTCATATTTTACCTCTGTGAATGGCGGACCTCCAAGACGAGTGTAAAGCTGTCGCATGTTGTTGATGACGTCCACCCTACCGTCGTCCTCCAGCCTGCTGGCGATGTTAAGCAGAAGCACCAAGAGACGAAACTCCTCCACAGATCTGTGATAAACCAATCACATTCAAATAAGTACAATTCAATTCACAATTTACTGCCTGTAGCATTTGATTATATTTAAACAGACGGCCAATGTCCAGGCAAGTTACTATGCCATCGATGTACCTTAGTAGTACCAAATAATTACATCTTAACACCTGCAGATCACCAACACCAACATTGATAATGTATGTACATACTCTGCTACCACTGTGCTTAAGCCTCGTTTGGGATCACTTGTCCACGTGAGAAAGTTGTCAATCAGCAAGTGGAAACTGGGATCCCTCACACTCCCCATGATGTTGTAATGTTGAACAACAGTAGTGTCATCGATATCCTGAAATATTGAAATATTAAATGGTTACTTTTAATGCATACTGCTGTTTAAGGTAATACTCATGTATGTAGTCATGTAGATATTTTTCAGGCCACGGTAGAGAGTCATTGACTTACTGTTGAACGATTTCTGTAAATAATCGAGTCTAGAAGGTTAACATGAGCTGAATACATGAACAACGATCCACACTATCGGGCACACAATCAGCCAAGTTACCGACCCTGGCCACTGGTCTCTTCAGCTGGTTCTTATATGGGATACTAGTGACCCTTTCCTCTCCAGAATCCACACCGGATTTTTCGTGTGGTAAAAAGATATAGTGATATAATTCGAGCAACAACATTGTGGGTTAACGCTACACACAGTACATCAGTATTCGTATTAAAATATTTTGTTTTTCAACCTTTAGTTTCAGCTCCACTGTGTTCAGAAGGGTGTCATCAGACAGAGCTGTAGACCTGGACATGCTCACTTCAAATCTGGTGGTGGTAACAGGACAGTCTACTGATGGGAGGTAATCCTGGAACGAGTTGTTAATGATGAAGAATTTATGAACATCAAATAGATCTTGTACCTATTTGTCGTTTGTTACATATGTAACTATCATCAGGACATTTGTGCTCCCGTGAATACGAGTTAGGGCTTTGAACATAAAGCTATTTAACATGCAGCTTACTTTCAATAAAATGAGTGGGTGTTTGACGCCCCACTCAGCAATATGACGGTAGTCTGTAAATTGTGGAGTCTGGACCCAACAATCCAGTGATTGACATCCCGAGCATCGATGTATTCAACTGGGATACGATAACGTGAATCAACCAAGTCAGCACCCGATCCCGTTAACCGCCTCTTACGACAAGCACGGGTTGTTGAAAGCCTATTCTAACCGCACTTTCAATCAAAGTAAGTGTCAAATGTGGATCATATTTATATGAAATGTACCGTTGGTAATACATCTTGAAAAAACCTCTACAAAGCATACAATGACGGATTTATAGCATCATATCAGTAGGACTGATGTTGTTTCTTGAGCATGATGTTTTGTTTTATGTTGTTGTTGCTCTTCAAAGAAACAATTTCATCAAGATAATATTCTGCACATTTTCCTACAAAAATAGACAATATTTCTTTAACTTTCTTCGGGAAATAAACCCACTCGTCAAAAGGGTCCAGCTCACTTTCTCTTAATTAGGAAACAACTACAAAGTTGTATATGGTTATTACTATTTGTATGAAGTGTATGCTTGGGGCAAAAAGCGTGACATAAATGTGTGGCCTTGATATCTTAGAATATATAAACCATTTTTAAATATCAGTTCATAAATATATACTGACCTGAGCACCTCCAGCATATGTTATTAAAATGTGCGAGTCACTGTTGTAAACTTGATTCCACACGGCCTCTTTTTCCGGATGTGACGACATAATAAAGAACCCATTCAGAGATGCATGTGACTGCGAAATAGAAATGAGTATTAATAAAACGGGTTATAATAATGACTGATCTCATTCTTCTTTACCAAATTGTCAGTTTTGTATGTTTGGGCTATTCACGCGATTTATCCAAAACGTACAAGTAAACAGTGCATATTTGTCTCTTGTCAAATAACTTGTTGATATCATCAAGTGATCTGCAAGGTCGACATTGTCATGAGTGCCGCAGAAAAAGACAACTGTTCTACTTATTAGGTATGTTCGTGCATGAAGTGCACGATCTTACTCTGAAAACCATAGCGTAAATGAAGTAGACTGAAAGTTGTACAGGCACAAAGTGATATTTTACTCGAGAGAAACATCAATTGTAAATTTGAGGATAAATATAGCATTTCACCACTGAATGCACAACATCTGTACATTAAATATGGTATATTGCGCTGCTTACTTACAGGAACGCTTGTGACAATTGCTCCCTCGGCATGCCCTGAAATGTAATTGCAACTGATATAGAGAACTTTAACTACAAGACTATTTTCAAAGTTACATTGTTGACATGTGTCTCGATATTCAAGGTCACGCAGACTTAGTTCACTTACTTAGCATATATAACATACCATTATATGTTTAAAGAGTTAAATAACCAGTTGTTCTTTCATTACATGTATTGTCACTTGATACTGATGACACTGTACTCACCCCCACCTCCGCGTTGTAAAGCCTAAAATAAATGTTAGTCAATCACTAAATGTGATGTACATTCTGCACAAATTATTATATTTAATTATTTCATACATATCCATGGTTACATATTACCATGGATACTTCTTAAAAAATGAGTGTTGAAAGTATGTATCTGGATACATGGAGTGTATCTATACCGTCACTTGTCAAAAGTGTGTAATCAACGTTGACAGGTAAGACAGTTGGTGGCTGATATTTGCTCAATTGCAATACGTGAACGGAGAAAAGGTGAATTTGTGTTAATAGGCATGCCTACCTCGAGGTGTTGTAGTACCGTCCTATTGCCCACGGTAACATCTAACACCTGACCGAGGTCAAGGTGTTCGATGGAGGTGGAGTCAAGTGTTGTGTCCCCCTCTGTCACGGCCCTTGCCAACGCCTGATAGATGAACCAGTACTGCTCCTGGATATATAAAGGTGTTTGATAGAAAGTTATCAACAATGACATAGTTACCAATAAGATATCCTACTTGGATAAAACAATTGTCATGTTTTACAATTACCTTTGTTTGAATCATGTTCTTCCTCTGCCCTCTCATGTTGGAGACGAAGCTAACGACGTCCACAACACCCTCTGTCTTTGCCTGCTCCACAAGACTTTCGATAGTGATGTACGTCCCTGTTCGACCTATACCAGCACTGGATTGAAGAAGGAGTTTAAACAAAACAGTAACAAATACCACACAAATATCCTTTGATATACGTACAAAGAATTCGAAAAGCACCAGTGTCTTTTTTATCTTCGAAAACTAAGAACACTTAAAAACCTTCCTGCTTATAATCAATGTTCCAGCAATCCAACATGTTCTTTCCTAAATGAGTTCAAAGAACGGCATAGGACTCTTGCTCAAAAGTTGTTTAATCAGGCTTATGGCATTCAAGGCCTTTCTAAGTAAACATGTCGAAGACGTTTCCGAATTTGACGAATCAGTTACACAAATGATGTCCTATTTTGACTTGTTGCCGTGGTTTTTCAGGTATAATCTTGACTTGTCCTTGTGTTTGTGATGGGTGCCATTGGTGGGGCAGTATGTGCTCACCGTTTCGCGGACATTTGTTATCATCACTATGCTATCATCGGAATCGCAAAATGAGATTTATTATACTTAGATATAGAAATGTTTTTTTCTCGCTCATATTTATATAAATGCAGGGCCTTGAAAATATCGTATTCGTATACATCATTATGGCTCAATAAATAGGATCAGTGTTATGATTTCTTGTAAAATACACACTACGTTATACGTATCAATACACAATTCTTAGAATTCTTAGAATGATCATTGAGTAATAATTCGAAAATTAAAATTTGATATTGATGTATTTCAAGTTTTGCGCCCCTAATGGCTATTGACTTCGTCTTTTGAACCGAACCTGCAGTGAACTATGATCGGCTGTGTTTGTTGTCCAGATATGACCTTGACCCTCCACATGAAGTCCAGCAGGGCAGCGGTGTCCGGCACACCATGATCTGGCCAGCTGGTGAAGTGAAGGTGGTGGACAATCCCCCTCTTGCTTTCCTGTCGTCATAAATGATTATGTATCTTCCATGAGCGGATGCTAAACGAACGTTTGACAATAATACGTGTATCCTTTACTACTTCGTTTATAATTCCAATACATGGGTACCCTCTGAAAAAGAGAGGACATGGGTGTCCAAGTAATGTAAGACAGTAATGTAAGCAATATTCAGCATGGCTTACAGATAGGTAACATCATTCAGATTCACTCCTACCTTCTCTTTCTGAACAGCCAACTTGGTGATAGTATAGTTTGCTAGTTGTGTTTGTGCTGCCAGAGTAACTGTTATGTCTCCAAACGTCTTGGTACCCTTCTCTGGCCAATATTGTAGACACTTCATCTTTAACAGAGTTCACATGTATGAATAATTGCATCCATAAACATTTCAAACTGTGTTTTTAATTTGATTTCAAGTGAATACCATAAAAAAACCATGAATTCTTACAGATAAGTCTAATCTTATTGTTGAAAAGTCAGAAAGTTAAATTACCTCAGAGAACTAAGTTCATACCTTGCATGCTTCCACCAGACCTGTTACCATGACAATAGTGCTGCACCCCTCCTGCCAGATCATCTTCCAGAAGTCCGTTATTATGTCCGATTTGTAGGGACCTGTACGAGGTTAATACTCAACAATTTATAACGTAACGCGGCTGAGGACGAATCGGAGATAATGTATTTACCCAACTTCTATTCATCTACATTGTGTTCCTTGAGATTAAACGTTACATTCTTTCATTGACCAAACCCTATTTGATATTACCTTGTGCTGCTATATAACGCTTCTCTGACTTGTAACCCTGGACGAAAACAGCGAAAAAAGATCACAGAACGTTAATACAAATAATGGCAATTGTAACATATGTATGTTAAATGTGAAAAAATAGTTTTCTCATTCTTTAGTTGAATGTTTATCTTGAACATCCTGACAATACATTTGAAAACATATTTCATGTTGTGGATACTTTTGATTATTAGAAAATGTTATAACAAAGTTGTAACTCACATCCAGGTAGCTTGCGTTGATGTAGTCACCTCTACTGTCATCACTAGCGTCATGCAAGATCACCCGATTGAAGTCATCTGGCAAAAACAGAAACATTGTACATAACATAATATCCTTTAAAAGGGGAGGCTTTCGTGTATTGAAGAATTTAAATACAATATTTTATCCGTACATGGGTAATATCCTTTGAACCTGTTCTTCCCTTTGTTCTTCGTCTTTTGTGATTCCTCATAGGAATGCATGAAACCATCAGGTAGACGCTGAAAGGAAGAAATGACATCTTTCACTAACATGAGGCTGATATGGTTCAACATAGTAATACTTTCAGGTATCAGGTTACAGACTTTCAATATATTTCCTTCCTGAAACTGACCTTAAACTCCTCTTCAGCCCTTTCAGGCTGGTCTTCCATCGCCTGCACTCGTGTCGCAAGTGAGGACACGGGGATAGCATGGCATGCTTCAACATCATCCAGATTGTAGTAACTTCTGTCAGCAAGATCGGGTGCTTCCTGTGGTGTTACCTGAGCATGGGTATCATAATCTTCTTCATCCTCCAGGACGGGCAGACCTTGACCTTGACTGTCGACTGGATCATTAACAAGTACGTTGTCACGTTTGTCCCCACTTTGGTTTTCACGCAGGTTAACATTGCGACCATCTGGGGCTGGAGAACCTACAGCCACGTGTGCAGTAGTTGTCCGAGTCTTCTTGGATGACACGACTGGCTTCGCTTCCTCATCAAATCCAACATTTATGTATGTATTTTCTGCATCTGTGCCCAATGCCATATTCACATTAGTTTTATTGGTATCACTTATAAATTGGGTTCCCTCACATACTTTAAAGCACCAACGCAAAAGAATAATCAGCCTCGAATATCAGCTGAGAGAGCGTAAAAGGCGAAAGGGTGATGAAAATAATATGAGCTAATCACTAAAAATCGGTGATGTTGATAGGTGTCCTAGAAATACGTACGCACCTGCTACATTTCACATTTTCATAGACAGCATAAATTGACAAAATCATTTGTGATAGGTGTCTGATTGCAATAAGTACCTTGAATGTTTTTCGTCTTGGAAGGGACATGTGAAGTCTCTTTTAGGACTGATTCATTGGAAGAAGATCCCTTTCCTTTCTGCCGTCTCCTTCTGTTTAATGTACAATACATATTTGCTATCAAATTATATAATCTCAACACTTGTATGGAATATTGTTTCCATGGCAATAAAGTAACTGACCTTGTGAGAAGCACAACGAGGATGACCACAAGGGCCACAAGCACAACACCCACTGCAGTTCCTGCTAGAGCTGCGACAGGGACGGTCTGGGCAGGTTCTGCCTGGGCAGGTTCTGACTGATCTGTGCGATGAAATGACATATATATATATATATGTATGCCTGGTCGATGTAATGTGTGTATGTGTCAGCTCAAATACGCTCTCTTACATGGTTATCGTGTCTTAGCTAAATATCTACTGACAAATTATCATATGATTGACAGAATTTGCTTAAAGTGTCTGCATGGCCGAGGTATATAATTTGTATCTGATCCCATTCCTTTAAGTAACTTGATCAGGGACCGGACACTTGTCCTTATTATTGACCATATGGTCATTGTGCTTTCAAGACTTTAGCCAGCCTGTTATACCATGTTTCCCCTTCACACACATTGTATTTGATATATCTAACATGTGTGTGAATGAACCTGCAGGTTGGTCTAATTGCTGTTCCTGTAATTCTGTGATGCTTACCTTTACACTGGGGTCCCATGTATCCTTCAGCACAGCCAGAGGGACACTTGCCTGAATTAGGGTCACATGTGTTATTACCAGCGCACAGTCCACATTCCTCTTTACATTCGCCCCCAAAATGGCCTCGAATGCACGCTAGAATATGAACAAATAATAATGGAAATTATTAAAATCCATGGTTTGAATTTGAGCATACATTCATTATAAACCGTTATTGGACATGACGAAAGTTTTTTCTCATCAACGCAATGGTTTCATTACCTGTGCAGTCGTACAGTGTCCACCCTGTCTCACATCCCCTGTCACAGTCCCCTGTTGAGTTACAGGAAGAGTTTCCCACACATTGTCTGGAGGCGCATGTCTTGTCACAGTTAGCTCCGTAATGTTGGCTGTCACAGGCTAACAACACAAACTAGGAATATATATATTCCACCTCGTCAAAAGTATCGCACTGCCAAGAAATGATTGTCATAAGAACAGAGATGTGTAAGGAGAAACTTGAAAGCGGAAGGGGAGCAATTTAGAGTATGTTTTAATTTACAACATGTTTTTTTTATAAACAACAGGAATAATAAGCATGTACAAAGAAAAACAACAACTTTATTCCCCAGTGACGACAATGACTGTAATCGGGGGAAAATAGAGGTAGTATACGTATGGTAACTTCAGGAATGAGATGGACAGATCAACACGTACGTGTCTTGGGAACGTTGTACTCATGTCACAGTTAAATGATCAATAGTGTTAGTCAATATCTGGTGTGACCACAAAACACACGAATCACATCGCAAAGACGTCTCATCGTGCTCAATATCAGACGCCTGATCCTCAATTGAGGAATATGTCGCAATTCCTGATGCATTGCCTGTGTCAATTCCTCGCTCTAACCCTATGTCCCAACTGATGCCATAGATGTTCGTTTGGAATCAGGTCTGGGCTTTGAGAAGGCCAAGGCAGTGAATCATTGTCTTTATGGAGATTGTCAGTCACAGTTCGGGGTAGGTGGGGTTGGGCATTTTCGTCATTGAAGACAGGACAAGTGCATGGTTATATCAAATGGGGCACAACAAAACCGTTAAGTATGGCATCCTGGTACCTTTGTCCACGTTTACAATCAAAGGAGCAACGTTCCCATACGATGCCTGAGCCACCAACACATGCCAATGTTTCCTGGAAGTTGTGCTGATGATAAGATATTCATCTTTGCCTACAGACACCAGTCCTACCATCAATGTGGTGCAACAAAACCGACTCTGGTCAGACCAATAAATCCTCCTTCGTGACCTCAAGTTCCAGTGTGCTCTAGCCTGACATCAGTCCAAACCGTCCCGCATGTGTTAGGGTGAAAGGGTTGACGCTTTACTGGTCTTCTGATATCCTGCTGCTGTCAGTAGACGCCTGACTGGTGCTAAGGTACACTCTGTTGTGGGTATGTCAGTGATGACAAAGAACACAGCAAGTTGAAATTGGCATCCGTTGTGCCTGCTGTACAAGGACCCTGCCCCCTCTGGCACGAGTCTTCCGTGGACGTCCTGATCTCGACAAGTCCCTCACATGTCCAGTAAATGTGCGTTTTCTAATGATTCGACTGATTAGTGTGAGTAACGTTCAACACCGTGGCAATAGCTCAACAAGACATTCCAGTTTGATGATTTTCTGGAATAGTATACCTTTCAATAACTTCAAAGACAGACTTTCAAATCGGTAGAATTTTCATTCAAAATTAATAGCAGTAAAGAACCTTCTGTCATCAAACAGTTATTTCTCTTCAGGTGGGCATACGGCTCGCATAAACGCACCCACAAGGTTGGACAGTTAAAGTGGCTATCATCCTACATGTGGATTATGTATCAACAAACAGTGTACCATTAGAAAATCTCGACCCGTGAAGATTCCCGGGTTGAATAGGTCTTCAGCAACCCATGCTTGCCGTAAAAGGTGACTATACTTGTCGTAAAAGGCGACTAACGGGTTCGGGTGGTCAGGCTCGCTGACTTGGTTGATGCATGTCATGATGCATCGATGCTCATGATATCAATCACTGGATTGTCTGGTCTAGACTCGATTATTAACAGACCGCCGTCATATAGCTGGAATATTGCTGAGTGCGGCTTTAAACAACAAACCAGCCAACCAACTCAATTATATTTTAATGTTGGTGGTATATATAATCTCATCGTAACCTCAGACGTTCCAATAAAGTTTCATAAGGCATGTTTTTTCTTTAAGCCATAGGCTCAGTTTACGTGGGGATTTCATCATCTACTGCCCGCCGTGTGTTGGTGTTTGTCTTAGAGCTAGGGAGCACTTATATTCAAAAAGTAACCACCAACATATAAAACAACTTTCTTTATTAATATTTGGTATCTTAAGAATTATCATTTGATTAATAAATTGAAATAATTTTAAACACACACACACACACACACGCGTATATTTGGAATTGGCATGCATTAAGGCAAACTACCATTACAAATATTAACAAAGCATGCGGTAAGTACCGAGAACCTTTGGTAAAAACACAATGGAACATAACTGGAGCTTTACCCTCTGACAGCTGAAGCTGGACTGAGGAGAACTGGGTTCATCGAACTTTCAGTGACCACCCCTTTTGTCATAAGGACATATATTCTACACGGTGTATACTTGCATGTAGCCATATAAAGCTGTGTATATGTGCAAGGCGACTAAACTATGTCTTTACCCGTGGTACAGGCTCCACCCTTCCATCCAGATACGCATCCAGATGTGCATGTTCCTCTCACATGATCGCAAGACGAGTCTCCTGCACATTTTCTTTCTGAACAAGCCATGTTGCAGTCAGCTCCATAGGTTCCATTGTAACATTCTGTGATGAAAGCACTGAGTTACTTTCCTTTGCAAAACATGCATCAAGAAACAAACAAATAAAATGTATGTTCGACGAGGGCATCTCCGTCAGATTGACACGAAACAGATGAGCACTGGTTTGATGCTTACAGGACTATGTTCACGAACAAGTCGACATAGAGATAATAAATCAGCTAACATAATGTAGCAGAATGTAAATAGTGTGTAATTTATTTGAATATCCTATTGCTTATGTTGCATGTGACCAGGTGTTTGGCTTTAAACATTTCAATATTTCTCATCTCTCGTCACTGCTTTATTACAACTCTGCATGATTCACAGCAGTGCACTGATTGGGGTCAGTTAATTAATACCTCTTTAATATTTATATTTATCATAAGGAGGGCTAGGATCTGATATCTTAGTCTTGTTAAGTACACTTTTATCATTTTAATTGCATATATTTGTATAGTGTAATTTGCAGTATGATCCACATGGTACGCAATGTCGTAAATATGTTACATATTCTTCAAAATCATGACACATAAGTGTGCATTGTGATATTAAGACATTGCTAGAGTAACCACTTAGAATAGAATGTAATTAGTGTTTAACAAACATATTGTTATAAGGTGCTTTCAGTAATTGATATAGTTGAAAGCTTGTAGCTGTATCTAATAGAATACATGTATCATTAGCAAAAATATACAGCGATGAATGTAATGACATATTGTACAGTATTTTAGTACACTTAGTCTTGTATGAGTTAGTTGATGATTATGTAATACTCTGTGAAAGTGTTCGTAAATATGTACTGATGCAGTGCACATATATATATATATAGAGAGAGAGAGAGAGCATGTATGTGTGCTTATTATTTACATTTTGCTTAATTGTGTCATTTCATTATTAGGCACACAGGCACATATAAAGCCACACTGTTGGCATTGTCGTGATGAGCCGCTGTAACAATAAAATACACAAACTGCATATTAATCACTCAGTGACTGAAATCAGACCATGAAATTCAGAGATCAATATCCTTGGTCACAGTTAAATCGATCACCACAATGTTTGTTTGGCTTAGAGTTATACCTATTCTTACAATTCCTCATCCATTCTGCACAGTCCACGTTGAGTCTTACTGAGGTTAAACCAACTCAAATTGATATAGAGTGCTCATAATATGTGGCTTTGCTAATATTGTATAATGATGCAAATGGTTTATATCTTGATTATTTCTCCCTGCAGTGTGAACAAACATTTCCGTATATGACGTTTGGCCGCATTATGCAGATAAAATACTTCAACGTGTATAATTCAACTTGAAATAGCATGACTGAGGGAAATAACATATATCTTCGTATCAGCTATCGTGAAGTGTGATGTACTTCTCAAACATGTCAAAGAGAGAAATTTAAAACAACGAGTAACATATCACAGAGAGATAAGGCTTTAGAGTTCGCTCCTTAACTTAGAAAACATACCGAGAATCATGGCAGGGGAAAAAACATAATAAAATCATAAATAACATATTCCAACTTGTCAAAATGTACCTTGTGTACAGTCCACACCTCTCCATCCAGGGAGACATCCCGTGTCACATGATCCATTGTAGCGATCACACGATGAATTGACATCAGAACATTTCCTGTTAGTACATATGTTCACACAGTTGACTCCATAGTAATCAGCGTCACATTCTACAGGAAAAAAAATTTTTTTTAAATCAAGACTCTCCTTTCAGGGATAAGTTACAATATGATGTGTAGCTATTACAACGGACTCACAATTTAAATATGATTGCCTACTAATGTGTACGTATTTAACTATAGCACGGATTTATTGCTATACAAAGACAGGATCCATCAGCTTAAATGTCCACAATTGCAGTTCATATAATATTGTAAGTAGGTTTTGTAAACCCGTTATTTCATGCCACCGACGAGTATCAAAATGATCATGTTTACATAGTTAGCTTCTTGACGCATTTTTCAAAATAAAACAAGCTCTATTTTTAGTCATTGCTACTTAAATGCGGATGATATGTTCAATTACATCAATTACATTACCACATTCGCTAACTGACACTCACGCTGATGACCAAAATAATAATGTCCTTCAATAACCTCATTTACCCGTGTAACATGCTTGTCAGCCATAGCCCTTCACTGCACCCCTCTACCTTTGTTCGGCCGGTCCCAGGACACACACCTGTCTCCCCGGTCTACAGTCTCCAGAAAACACACCTCAATCCCTCATCTGTATCACAACTGTCTCCCTTCTGTCCCTGTCTGCAGTGTCAAGGACAAAATTCACTGACTTAATCTCCTCATTTGTATCAAACCTGCCACCCTGCCACCCTGCCATCCAGGTCCAGAGTATCCAGGACACCCACTACTGATCATGAATGAATCTCATCACCTGTATCACATCTACCTCCCTTGTCAGCACACCGGGAAACACATCGCTGCATCAATCTCTTCATAAAGCTGATAAAACTGGAATACTGTTCAACGCATAGTTAAACCCAACTCATTCAACTCTTTTGGCCTAATTTACCAACAAGAATACCATCAATTACAATTATGACACTTATAAATCTATATTTACTGATGGATCCAAGAATGGTGGTGCAGTTGCTAGTGCCACTGTCATTGGATCCAGAACAATATCTTCACGATTACTAGATACCAGTTCCATATTTACAGCAGAAGCAAACGCCATTTTTACCGCACGGAAATATATCAAAAACCAATCCAAACATAAACAGTTCATTATTTTTTTCTGATTCACTTTCATGCCTTCAGGCAATTAAAAATATGTCATTTTAACATCCACTTTTAATCCAAATTCTTGAATTATTTAATGATCTTGCTCCTGGCTAATATGACATCGTCTTTTGTTGGTTACCAAGCCATGTTGGTATCATTGGTAACACAATGGCAGATCCTGCTGCAAAAGCAGCACTCAACAAATCTGTGACACCACTTCTTATCCGATACACTGACTATACACCTGTTATTAGATCTCACATCCCTGATCTGATGCAAAAGAAGTGGGACACCCAAGTAGGTATCAATAAATTACATGAAATAAAACCAAATATCGGTTACACCTTCTTGGGCTGTCAGTCCAGATTTGAGGAGGTCATTAGGCGACGATGTCGTATTGGCCACAGCAGATACACAAATGCATATTTATTAAAAGGTGAGGATCCTCCGTTTTGTATCCCTTGTGATAAAAGAATCACGGTCAAGCATGTCCTGCTTGACTGCATTGATGTTTCCATCACAGGGGATAAATATTTCAGTGTCAAAACAGTTAAGGACCTTTTTTATGATGTTAATTCTCATTTAATATTACGTTTTATAAATGAAATAGAACTTGTCCATAAATTCTGATGTGCTTAATGTATTATTTTATAAATTGGTAGTGCTAATTGTTAACTCAGATTGTGAGTGGCTGTACCCTCGAGGGTAGCGTCAAATTATTGTCCCCCCTTAGAGGGTATGTAAGTCCCAAATCATTCAAAGTATTATTATGCATACCAGACTTTTAAAACGTAGCATTTTTGTCATTTTAATCTTAGGCTTAACTGGTAAACTATCGCCAGTGACTGAAGGGATGATATAAAACCTTCCGGGGTCCATGCAGGAAGCAAAGGCTCTGTAAGTCCCCATGGTCCCTAGTATGGTGACCTTTAGTTACTGACGATCCCTAGCCCATTTATATATTGTGTTGTTCATGGATACTTATGGCTTTTATATATTCTCAACTAGTTTGAAATCGAATCTGTGATATTCTTGTTATTGTACTGTCCTTCGTTGACAGATTTATATTCAGTCTAAATCTATGTTCTATTAATGTCCTTCTCGTCGCGATATGGCGGAAATACTGCCGATGTGACGTTAAATTTTAACTCACTCACTCACTCACTTTTGGCCTAGTGTTTTGATTCCGGAGAGAATGCTGTCTCATGTGCATAATAAATAGATCAGTAAGGAGGGGAGCGCAATTGGTGCCAAATTCCTGTCTAAATGTCCTGTCTGTATTTGCATTATTGTTGTTTCCTCTGTAAACAGCTCATGGTATGCTATATTGTCGCGGCAGTTAAATTATAATGGCTCGAAATGGCGAATGTTCACTAACACATTAGTTTGTCGCAAATGTCAAATGTTTCTTGTTCTCTATTAAACTTTTATGACACATTAATTTGAATGGATCAATGCTGGTTTTCTTTACAGAGTTAGGTAAACAAAGTACTTATAAGTGGCGACTCAGGGGCGGTAAACTCTATATTATCGCGGTGTCACTAAATTGTTGGTGATTGGTTGATTATGTGGTTTACATTACTTCCTGTTTTAGATTATGCCCAATCAGTATGCATACAAAATAGGTCGGGTCCAAGCACATTGTCCAAACAAGTGAATCCTTTGTAACCAATTTCGAATGAAGGTAGGGGCAATTCCACTTCAAAAACATTCCTGGATCTATCATTTGTAGCCGTGACATAGGTAACATAAAGTGAGATTAAGTCCTGTATTCGATCACGCGATGAAATAGTGTGATAAGTTTTGCATAAGTAAAGAGTTGATAGGGGATCTAGGTTTCGAGATTTACCGACACCGCGACAATATAGAGCCCGCGAGTCATACTATACTTACCTGTCTACAGCCTCCTGGACACACACTACTGACTGAATGTCCTCACCTGTATCACCGCCACCCTGGTCTACAGTCTCCAGAACACACACTACTGACTGAATCTCCTCACCTGTATCACATCTGTCTCCCTGCCACCCTGGTTTACAGTCTCCAGGACACACACCACACACTGAATCTCCTCACCTGTGTCACACCTGTCTCCCTGCCACCCTGGTCCACAGTCTCCAGGACACACACCACACACTGAATCTCCTCACCTGTATCACACCTGTCCCCCTGCCACCCTGGTCTACAGTCTAAAGAACACACACTACTGACTGAATCTCCTCACCTGTATCACATCTGTCTCCCTGCCACCCTGGTCTACAGTCTCCAGGACACACACCACACACTGAATCTCCTCACCTGTGTCACACCTGTCTCCCTGCCACCCTGATCTACAGTCTCCAGGACACACACCACTGACTGGGTCACATGTTGCTCGTAAGCATTGGCAGAACTGATTGCAGCTATCGCCGAAGACTCCTGGACTGCAAACTAAAAGTAGGATGATAGTGAATATCCTTGTTTCCAATGGTACTTTTAGTGTGTGGTTTCAAAAGTGTCACTGATATATGAATATTATTTGCACTATTGCTTCCACTTTCAAGTTGTCTGCGGTCCCATTTAACAACACTACGGTGTTTATTGCATATGTAATTGCATGTAAAATAGGCACTTGGTCTAGATTAATTCCTCATTGTGACATTATATGGAGATCTGCATGTAAAATAACCAAAAAAGCCATTCTCAATCGCACTTCAATAACTTTTGCTGGACAGTTTTCCTTTAACTGTGAAAATGAATAAAGATTTGAATGGCGTAATGATACACTATATTGATAGACCCGTGAAGATCCGTAAAATAAATCTTCAGCAACCCATGCTTGCCTTAAAAGGCGACTATGCTTGTCTCAAGAGGCGACTAACGGTATCGGGTTCTCACGCTTGCTGACGTGGTTGATGCATGTATCCCAATTTCGTGGATCGATGCTCATGATGTCAATCACTGAATTGTCTGATCCAGACTCGAATATTTACAGACCGTCGTCATATAGCTGGAATATTGCTGACTGCGTCGCTCAACAACAAAGAAACAAACCAAACCAAACTCTACTCATAAGTGTTGTTATGTGGCTTGATGTTCACTTGATGTTCACTTTAGCGCTGCTGTTTTGTTTTGAAGTGTTTTGTAGATTGATAAACGAACACTTTTGATCATAACCGATTAGCCATTCTCAATGTCAGTTTTCCTTTAACCGTGAAAATGTGTGAAGATTGGAAAGGCACAATGACATACATAACATGGCTGGATGTTCACTTTACCGATCCTGTTTTTTTAAGTGTTTTGAAGTTTGAAACACTGTTGATCATACATAATCTTATTGACAACAGATGGTGGCTTACGACAAAGGGTCAAACAACATCCGTGCAATAAGGAAAAGCACGAAAACCTTAGATCTGAAACATCAACAAGTTGCAACTTGAACTTGACAATTTAATCTTGACAACTTAAAACGGAATCACGGCGACACTGTTGTCTGACGCGACCCACCACTGGGAATGATGTCCGTCTCTTGTCAGGGACGTCCTCAGGGTTTGGGAAGTTACCAGTACTTCAAATGCCCTTCATCACACACACAAACGTATCTTTAGTATCATATGAGAAGGCCAGTGTAGCTCAAATACCCTCAATGAAGTATGAAGCTCATTGACTACAGTTGTGACAAGGAAGATTGATCCGTCGCCCTCTTATACAACAATGCATTCACATTAACGCTAACTTCCCCTTCACAAATGTAAACTGTGGGTGGAAATTGATATGGCAACATGTGCCCATGCTTCCAATGTCGAGGCCAAGACCCTTAAAAGATTCAAAATATATGTCGAATATCAAGGCACCATCTGTTGGCACAAATTGAGATAAAGGTGTTAAAGGTAAGTAAAAGGTCTAAACAAATCGGGGCCTAACCATATTCTTATACACTAAAATATGATGCATGGGCATATTGTATTCCTTTGTTTTCTTATGTACATAATATAATATAACATATTTTTATAATATGCCAATATGATAAATATATTCCTTCTCTCATCGGGAAAGGATTCCTTTAAGTTACAGATTACACTTCTGAAAAAAACATACCATAAATCACTACCTCACACAGATTCAAGTGTGCGGGATCAGTGATGGTGAAGTATCTCCCTATTCCATCACAGACCACGTTGTAGATACCGTTGCCAGTGTCTGAAGTGTTGGACGGGAAGGAGTAGCATGGGGCACTGGGTGTGGTGCTGGTGTTGCTCAGGTAGAGTGCAGCCGTGCGAATTCGACCAAGATCTGTAATAAGTACAAGTTCAAATATATAATCAATACTAAAATGGCATTGTAGTCGGTAGACAACGAGCAGCTGACAATGCTCCGGATTTGCTAGTATACTCACAGTGCACAAACGTTATTGTATGTACAGAGGTATACAGACTATAACTATATGCTTTAACCTAGTTAAACCTAGCTATAATAATATGGCGACTTTTACATATACTAGTCTGGGCCAGGCAAACCTGTGGTTGACATTATATTGAACATCTTAAGCCGTCTATGAACGATGACACGAAGTCAAGTCACCAAGCCTGATGACCCGATACGAAAATACATATCTCACAACAATTAATAGAACTATTCCAATCCTGGTCCCCATCGGGTGACCTGATATGTAACACTATATTATGTAAAGAAGACAATTTGATCGTGACTTCAAAGTGTCAATGCATAAAAATCATACGAAGTTTCTGATGATATATCCTGACATCATGTATCCTGTAGTCGTGTCTCAGATCCACTGTCCACAAACTCCTAACGTCGTCAGCAGAGTTGAAACAGGAGCCTTGGTGCACATCCTGGTTAGAGTTCCCATCTACAGCTTTGTCTGCAGACCAGGCAGATGACCACAGTCGAGTAGGGGATGAGGCGTCTTTTCCTAAGGCAACGTTTTCTGTTTTGGTATCAACACAACATTTCACTCAAGTTATGAACACAAGAAGTGTCCAGAATAGACATTACACTGTAATAGGCATACATATCCATTCAAAACCAAACCATACATTCAAAAGTCTCGAGTCCTAAAATGATGTTTATGTTACTTGTAACAGATATACGGTGTACGGATATGTTGACAGACAAGGGCGAATACAGAAAACTTGACACACGACAAGAGGATCTGGTGGGTAACTACACAACACGCAGTACACTAAGTTACGGCCACCTGTGCTCAAATAACCTGTGAATACATATAACCTGCATTACGAGTGATTGATTGATTTAGCAATATTTCAGCAATATCACGGCGGGATACAGCAAAAATGGGCTTCACACATTGTACCCATGTCGGGAATCGAACCCGGGCCATCGACGTGACGATCGAACGCTTTAACCACTACCCGACCGCCCCCTGCATTACGAATTATCAAGCGAATTGTATGCTTTAAAACGGTTTTACTAACAACTCAGTCAATACACCCACCCACTGGTCCAACCTCTAAACCAGCCAACCTCTACTCACTAACTCGGATTGGGACAACAGGACCTGGTAATACAGTAAGTCGCGGCCACTTTTGCTCGAGTTCCTTTGAGTACATTATATCCTGCATTGCATTAACAAACTTATTTTACACTTTTCAAATGGTTTTGAAGGAATTTAGACGCAGAGCAGACATGCCCTCAATTCATATTCATCCTGTGTTTCATGGTTTGTCTGCACCATACCAGTGCTCTCTGTTTTCACCAAACTGGTAAACATTTAATACCTGCCTCACTTTGGTCTTCAAGCTGACAGCATCACACGCCCTTATGATGGTAAAACTCACTCACCCGCCCATCTAACCAGCCATAAAACACACCAATACACACACGCACTGACCAAACCAGCCAACCTCAGTCACTCAGTCACTCACTCAGTCACTCAGTCACTCAGTCACTCAGTCACTCAGTCACTCACTCACTCACTCATTCACTCACACACACAACCAGCCAAAACCCTACTCAATCACTCAGTCGTTCAAGTACCAGTATGCCCACCCAAACCTATTCTTTCACTCACTCAATAAGACTCACTCACCCAGCCACTCATGCTTTTCAATTATATCCCTACCTTTTTGACAGGTTTTCCCCTCTCCTCCCACCCAGCCTCTATCACAGGCACCTCCACAAACACCAGTTGTCTGGTGACAAGACTGCCCACAGTGACAGGTGTAGCTACACGAATCTCCGAATGTTCCCCAGGAACAGGAACCTGGGGAGATATACATTGGAACAGTTATAGCTGAAATGGAACCTGGCCAAATGAGTGAGGTGAGGTGAGATGCGGGTGGGATGGGGTGTGGTGAGGTGAGGTTTAACGTCGCGTTCAAGGTTATTTCACTCTCATAGCGATGTGCCTGACAAAGCCTGGACTTAAGTGTTTGATAGTGTAATTTCATTGAGATAACATGCCACAGTTTTTAAGACAAAAACTCGTTACACAGCCTCCGAGTCGTGCAGTCCTTACTTTACACCCTTAACGCAGAGCTCCAGACAGCGTAACGGCAAGTGTAATCTCTTAATTTCTTTCGTCCTAAAGACTGGGGGATCGAACCACCGACCTACCTCTCTTCAGACACAGAGACGGTTTGTTTAGCAGAAGGTAGCAATCAAAATATAATATATGCATTTTCTCTAAGCCTTTGCATTGAGACATCAGTAAACTTAATAATATTCATGTGCAAATGTTATTCACTGTTATAGCCTAATGACACTTTATCTGAATAATGTATTTCTGAGTTGTTTCGAAATACTATACATGTACATAACTATATAATCTAATCTTAATTGAAAATACACTCTGCTCGTGTAGAATTAGATGTCGGCAGCTTGTTTGAGTCACTTCTCATTTCTCAGTGGACGTCTCAGAGCCTGGACACAAGTTCCGTCACTGTCTTAACATGTTGGGCTTTGTAACAATTGTTATCGTTATATTATTACGTTTTGTCACAATCTCATGATTAAGTTACAGTGTAACGTTGTTTTAAAATGTCACGTTGCGACGTCATCGTTTCAGGATGCAGTGTTAACGATGTTCACAACCTTAATCTGAAATATGATGTGCATTATTGTTTACTTCAGATCCTTTCTAAATCTTCCATTGTAATTTAATTCAAATCCATGTTTTGTTAGCCATTTGTTGTTTTGAGAGTATGATTCAAACAGTGTTGATCGTCTTAGCATGAGTTTCAGCTCTTGCGATATATTATTCCGAATACATAGAGTGTATATACTTTAGTGCAACATTGTACATCACCGTCATATACAACCTTACTCCCCTTCAAGTAACCCATTAACTGGTCTACCATGCTCAGTCTTATGTGGAGTGATTGTCTTGGCATGGCAACAATGATGCAGTTAGTTAGTGTCATTCCAATAATTGACAAAAAGATAAATGTATGAAACATAAGGAATCACGATGTGTCACTCACCAATGACAACCTGTATCCAGCAAGCCGATGTGACCACGGTGACAGTCAGTATACACATACCCGCCATGTTTCACAACCAGGAAGTTGTTTCCGCTTGACTTCATAGCTGGGACACCTGATGTCGCTCACTGTCAAAATAAACATGGAAGTCTATAAGCGGGTGGAGGGGGAATGCTGACAGTAAATATCTGAAATGCATGTCCTTGTCCTGTATCACATAATCATAGATGAGGCTCAGATTTCATATTCAAACAAACATTCTCATTTCGGTCAACTCGTCAAGGAAAGGAAATGTTAGGTGGTCTTATGGTATACAGCTTTTAAAATATTTCGTAAATTGAAGTGTATTTTTATACATAACGTGGACACGCTTTTTGCCAAGTGACAGTTCCTGATGGTATGGTATCTGTGGGTGTCCCATTTACGGTCACTGCATATGTCTACCCACCTCAGTTTATGAATTAGACATGATCACTGTTTTACATTAGTCGCAGGGATGAGACACACACACACACAACATGTGTTCTTGGTATGGGAATCCGACACTCCCCCTGACTATGTTGTTGTACTAATGAGTCAGAGAAACCAAAATATATTTAATGAGAATGACACACACGACCTTTTGTATTGCAGTAGTTGTTTGGCAACTGTCAAATAAATGGAGAGTAGTGCAGCACATGTTGAATACTTTCTAAGACTGTAATACTTCCCTAGTAGTGACAGAATGAATTGCCATTAGTGAATTCGTTTGGTTTCATCAACGTTATCGGACATGGTCATGCCGCAGTACACACATCGGGATAAAGGACATCAGGAAAAAACACACGACTTCCTGCTAGTGTTAGGTAAAAGTTATAATGATATGATAATGCATTATAAAGGCATAGGCTATTTGAGTACGTTATCTGTTTGTTGTACGTCAATGTTTAAAACCTTGAAAGGATATATATTACAGCATTATGTGGTTTGGATCTCAATGGATGTCACAGAGTACGAGTATACTTCTCCTATATATCACCTTCCAATACAACAAATAACAGAACACTTTCTGGATTGCTATGCAGTGCACCACAACTCACCGTTTAATTCAACATTAATATCACATTTACATATATCTCAGTCATTTGACATCCATGATATACACAATATCTAACATATGACATTGAATAAATTGACAATATACAAATACTGACGACTAGTCTTGATTAACGCGACGAGCTTCAAATATACGTGGCAACGAGCCCTACAAAAGGCAACAAGCCATAATCAGTGATAATAAAATATCATGAGCAACGATCTGCTGTTAACATGCTACAGGCATTAATTTCTCTGCACGACAAGCCTCCATGTTTGCGACATTCTCAGGGCGACAAGCCTCCATCTTTTGCGACATACCTCGTCGTGGGCGACAGGCCATCATGGTTAACACTGTTAACCGCACATACTGCAACTTAGAAACAATCATTAATAAAAGTAAAGTTTTCAGTGGCGCACTGCAAGCGAGAATGACCACTCTATACATGCTTAACCTTATATAGCCCCTTATAAGCGCCCCCTACTATTACACAACACCATGTTGTATTTTCCTACGGTAGGAGAAAGTAATTTCTTTCTTATTCGTACCTCAAACGAAAGAAATAATATTTCTCCTATATATCACCTTCCAATACAACAAATAACAGAACACTTTCTGGATTGCTATGCAGTGCACCACAACTCGAGATTCAAAGAACGGGCTGATAATATAAAATACTATAGTCCTAACGACATTGATACTGACAAACGATGTTCTACTGAATCCTTTACATATCCATCTTTTGCGTTCTCACTTTTCCATCTACCGTGCCTCTTAAACATCCTGTCTGGGACACCATTGTTAGCTGCAGCTGTTGCACCGCCTGCACGCAAACTATGCAAACCATACTTTGATATATCTCTGACAAAGGGGGCAAAAGCTTCAATAAACTCTTCCCTCAAACGAGTATATGACATACTTGAATTTTGTTTTCTTTAAACGTAAGATGTCTTACACTATGATAAGTTTCTGAAAAGATACTCTTGTGACTCATTATCAATACAAGCCGCTTCAATATATGTTTCTAACCAAGAAACCGGGCATAGCTTCCCTCTTGTTCTGCTTATTAATAACCAGGCACCATCTCGATACATGTCAGTTTTCGATTTCTCAATAAACACTGTCATATAAAATTCGTAAAAAATAATATCACATCTCTTCAAATTGAGAAGCTCAGCAGATCTCAAAAAGCCGGCATAAGCAACTAAACTCATAGCAACAATGCGAATATCCTTCAAGCAATCGCTGTGTTGCTTAACATCAACCAATTTCTCCAGTAATATCAATATCTACAGTAATTGGCTCTTTTTTACATTTGGGTTTCGAAAGCTTTCTCTTAGCAGCCTCAAGAACATTTCGAACAAGAGAATTATCTGTCGGACTTGGCAGTCCCAACAAATTATGCACATGGCGTATGCTATAAAACGCAGTCTGAACTGATGAAAACGAATCATTACGCTGCATTACAGCAACAAGATAAATAGCACAATGCAAAGGCTGAACAGGAACGTCTACACATATGCTGTTTGAATTAGCCCACCTTTGCCACGCTTTAAATCCGTAATGGTACTTCCTGCTAGTAGAATCAGCTCGAGCACAATTCAACAAGTCCGGAATCTGGTCAGCTAAATCCCTGGCAGTTCCAGGCAACATCTCCAACTCAGAAACATAAGCACGAGTAAACACATCTGTAAACATAAACATCAAAATTGCATTTTCAACGCCAAAATGTTAAAATGCAAATGCTCAATACCAAATATTCCCCCTTGACATCTACCTGGCACGTAAGCCTCTCTTTCTCTAGGTAGATAACAGAAATCCAACACTTGTGGTATGAAGATACCGTTAGGACACAATAATGGCCAGTAATTTGCAGAATACCACGCCGGAACTATCAAAGTACCTTTCGCTTTTGACCATTTCATGTGTTTCAACACTCTACTCACGAGGTACACAGGGGGAACTACCCAGTTATTTACACTATCCCAACTCTGTGTGAACGCATCGATGTATTCACACCCAGGATTCCAAAACCTTGAACAGAATCTGACAACTTTACAGTTGTAATGCGTGGCAAATCTATCGATGTCACATTTACCCCATTTTCGTTCGAGCTCATTGAAAATGTGGGTAGCTATACCCCAATCATCATAATCTACAATCCTACTGATATAATCTGCCTTCTGATTCTCTGATCTGGGTATCCATTGAATCTCCAGATGAATAGCATGTGACACACATAAATCAAATATCTCTAAAGCAATCTTCTGCAAATCTGCTTTCATACTTCCTTTGGACACTATGGATTCCACATTGCTGTTATCGGTAAACCATTTTACCCTCTGGGATGTTAGAAATCTGGATAAAGCATGTAATACACACTTAACCGCTGTTAATTCTCTCCAAGTAGAACTTTGTTCTGCCTCGTCACGTGACCATTGACCTTGAGCCGTCTGGCTTTCATATTGAACACAGTAACCACCATATCCCGAAGCACTTGCATCGCTATATACAACACGAGTCACACCTTGTGTTTCAGATAATGTACATTGTGAATGCTTATGAATGTTACTTTTCCAAAACTCTAACTGGCGCAAACTAACTTCATTCAATCTGATACTTTCGTTCCATGATGATACATCTAATGTTTGCAAACTCACAGACCGAGTCATCAATTGACACACTGAGCCTGTAACCATTTTCATAGAAATAATTTGACCAATCACTGATGCAATATCTCTCACAGAAACCTTGCTTCGAACGCCTATGTCTAACAAACGATCTATCATTTTCAGAACTTTTTCCAATCTTCTGGCTGGAACTGTCAAAGACATACTTTTAGTTTCAATGATAAGACCAAACCACTCAATGCATTGTTGAGGCTCCCACAAAGATTTTTCTACTTTCGGAACAAATCCTGATTTGATTAAATCATTCTTTATAGAACCATTTGTAGATATTGCACAATCTTTCGTTTTATCAGACACAATTCCATCATCCAAAAATGTTACAACCTTATGACCTTGAAACCGCCAGTATTTAACCAATTGCCTTGTAACTTTCGTGAAAACATACGGGGCGGTTGTTAAGCCAAAGGGCAAAACTAGAAATTTGTAGAATATGCGATTCTGACCTTCTCCCCACGCAAATCCTAAAAAGTCAGTATGTGCAGGATAAATGTCTATATGATGATAGGCGGAATGAATGTCAAATTTTGATAACCAATCTCCTTTTTCAATATACATCAAAGCTGATCTCCAATCCTCATACTTCACTGAAGTTTTCCAAATATGTTTATTTATAATAGATAAATCTAGAATAAGTCTTTTCCTCCCTGACGATTGTGTAGCGACTGATAGTGGGCTCACTATATGAGGTTTTACGTCACAAACATCTACGAGACCTTTATGTACTAAATCTTGAATGGCCGAATCAACAAATTTACTGTTTTTAATAGCAGATCTGTTATTTCTCTTATCCATCATTGGAGGAGTCGAGTAAAACGGAATCTTGTACCCGTTTTCAATAATGTCTAACACAAAATCTGTTGCTCCGATATACTTCCGAAAAGAAACATTTTCTTTAAGTCTATTCTTCACGCAGATCTCAGCCTGACCCTGCTCATACTCATAATAATCGGTTGTAATTCTAAATGTATCATTATTGAGTGAAGAAGATTCAAAACTACACTTAACTTTTGTCCCGGCTTCTTCGTGACGGACTTCACCTCGTTGATTGTTTGTCTGAGTTGAGCTTGGGCTGGGTCTGGCCGTTGGCGAGTGGACAATGTCGTCTCCAATGCGAGAAGTCACCGCAGTGAAAGCAGGCCCCTGTTGACCTCTGACCTCCACGGGCACGAAAAAGCTGAGAATCACCAACAGCAGACTGACCGTGCGTGCTGTCGTTGACCGCTGTTGACGCTGGAATGGGCCGTGGTCCATACCTATAAGGACGCGCACGTGCATTACGTGCGTTTTTGGCCTTGATTTTCTTGATGGCCTTGTTCGCGGCCCTCGTGATGCGACGGTCATCATCGGAGTCATCAGCCAATTCACGGGACACGTAGTTTCTCACAGTCTCCCAGCCTCCCTCGGACGAATCTGCAATCTTTATGTGTTTGTTTCTGTTCTCGATCCTAGCTATCTCATTCTTGACTAACTCAGTTACGTAATCACTCTTACCGCACTGAATTCCAAATTCAATTTGTTTAAATGTCTCTAAAGTCTCTTCATTAAAAGAATATTGAATGCGATTACCCTCGCGTGACCATACGTAATCTTTCTCTGCTTTCAGTTTCTGTAACTCCTTGTTTGTCTTTGAGAATTCTTCTCTTAAACCAGCAACTCTATGATCTAATCGTTCATCTATACTTTTCGCTATCTCTTCTTTAGATGAATTCAACTGCTTCAAAATGGCGTCTAACTTGTCGTTGATAGGTGTTTGGGCTTCCATAACAAAAGTAAAGTTTTCAGTGGCGCACTGCAAGCGAGAATGACCACTCTATACATGCTTAACCTTATATAGCCCCTTATAAGCGCCCCCTACTATTACACAACACCATGTTGTATTTTCCTACGGTAGGAGAAAGTAATTTCTTTCTTATTCGTACCTCAAACGAAAGAAATAATATTTCCGTGGGACAAAAGCAATACTTAACAATACGTCTTCTTATATTACTGAAAGTCTGTACAATTTGGTTGTAACCAAATCCACTCACTTAAACAATACAACTTACATACAATATAGTGAGTGAATGTATGTTCTTATTTCTTATTCAAATGAGTAGCCATAGTTATACTCGAAGTATCAATGTTGTTTAAAGGTGTGGTTTGTGTTAAAAACTGAATAGGAAAAATAAAGAACTTACATCATGTATGAAGATTGTTAATGATTCACCTATGATATGGATAATCACTTAACAGCAATACAGCCCAATATATTTTCAATATATTATGTACTGTAATACGCGTGATGCACGTTTTCCTACAAATTGAATGGCACAGGACATGTTTGTGCCGCTCAAACTTGTGAGGGAAATCTGATCCTCGACACGCTTGTCTCCTTGGCAATATACAGCAATGCATTAATATACATAAAAGTGTTGGAATGTTTTACGCATTGAGTACATAAGCAACCACATATGATTTTTTATAATATTAATTAATGTTTCTTCCCTGAATTTCGGTAATCCTGGATTCTGAGTAGCTATACAGATGTATAAAATCACAATTACCACCTCTGACTGAAGCAGCCGATTTGACGACCGTTTCACAGTAATTTTTCTCAGTCATTAGTGGCACTATTAAATGATTATATGTTCAATTATATTGAAGATTTGCGGTAAAATAGTTACCTTTTGCGGTAACGTCAGAGAAGTTCATGTTTTGGCGTTTTAGAGAGCTGGTACAATTCGCTATATTGACTTGTCTTTTATGGTCCCATGTTTTTTCAGGGGTACAATTGACTTGACTTTGTACGTGATAGTGATTTGATATTGATTCAAAAATACATGAGTGTGTGTTGTCGGTATTGGACATCCGACTGCTTGTAGCAGAAATTTCTTACGATCATGGACGGGGATTATGATAGCGACTGTGACCTAATAATTCCTGCTTCACAATGAGCGGTGTGATGTTACAATAATCACGCGAGGTGTACAACTAAACATTGCAAGGTTTAGTTACTCTTCAATTGGGGCGCCCACTTAATGCTGGCTTATGACGTAGCTGTGCTCCACACGTTCTATGCGTATTTGGTGTCACTTTATAGAGCTTTTAATTTATTTATCATCCTATCATCATAACTGATTATATTATTTGTTATTGGTTTATTATTTTGACGCCACAATGTTGACAGTCTGTCATCTGCACAACCGCCATGTTAGACGACCGGGAAGTTGTTTACACTTCCGTGTTTGCCTACACAGGCGATTCCCACAGGTCGAGTGTCTCTGTCATTGCAAAAAGATCCTATTGGCCTGTATCTGAACAAAAGAGAACTATTAACAGGGATCGTCAGGTAGCTGGGGTGATCAATCAAACATGACTATTTACAAAACATCTTGGAAAACTCATACACGTTCACATCGTCCCTATAAAAGGGTGTGTACTGTATATTTTCAATTGTGAACATTTGAAAACCCATAAACAGAACATTAGTGACGGACATAATTAAGGGACAGTTGTATACATATCTGTTTACCTGTGTTAGCTTAATCTTGAAATCAATCCCGAAGTAATTCAGGCCAGTGAGGTGTATTCTATGAAAAATGCGTGTGTAGGAATGGTGCTAAGAACCCAAGAATCATAATTAGTTCATATCAAGGATCCAGGATTCTGGCACACTAAAGTCACCTAACTTTGCACAGAGCATTGCGGTCCTCAGACAACTGGTATCCATCCCATCTCCCTCGTTGCTGCTGTAGTATTCACACAATGTCTGTGTTGTAATAGTCGTGGGGACAAAACGCAAGTTATATACTGATACACTCACTGTTTATTTGGATGAATACCACTGAAACTGAAACTGAAACTATAGATCTATCTATATTCTAATGACTAGAAATGTAATTAAATAAACACGATATATGTGTACATATGTGCATATGTGAGTGTGCATTCTTTGTGTATACATCCATTACCATGGCCTCGCTAATTCATTGAAGCTGTTGTATTGCGACTGTACATCGTGGCTGCGCAAAGAACTTTCGTTTCTGTGTCCACCCATCATGGAACGAATCTCGAGACCAGCATCATTCATAACATGGATATATGTGACACGATAGGTGAAGTTACACTGGTAACTTTTGACAGACAGTGTTGTTGTGTAATTAGGATTCCCAACATTCCGTGGTGATTAAAGTAGTCCTCTACGCAGGGTGTGGCTCAATGTTTTTACATTTCTTGGGAAATGAAAACAATAACAAGTGACTAATTAAGCTATTCAGAATGCAGCAATAAGAATGAACACAACGGAAATTAAATTATATGTAATGCATGCATTGCATCAAACGACTCACATAAACCAAGTCGACAGGCTAATCTCATCATTTGATTCTCATCTAACGCCTTCACATTGCTTTATAATGCATAAAGTAATGTGAAGGCGTGTATTTCGGGGCGGTCGGGTAGCCTAGTGATTAAAGCGTTCGCTCATCACGCCGACCCGGGTTCGATTCCCGACATGGGTACAATGTGTGAAGCCCATTTCTGGTGTCCCCCGCCGAGATATTGCTAAAAGCGGCGTTAAAACCTTACTCACTCACTCTCTAATACATGCATTTCTATTGAACATGGGAGAAGTTCAAACCTGTTCATATGTAAAGTTCGTGAAATAGCGACTGTGAATCCACAAATGTCAGTATCATGATAAAGTTCCATCATGATGTTATCGCAGCTATATACATAATCCTGACAACAAATCTTAACCCTATAACTTGAAATTAATATATATCAATATAAATTGATATATAGAAAACCCACTGTACCCCTATACAAAATGTCTGTCAAGCCGAAATACAAACATGGAATCATATGCCAATATTACAAAGATACTTGGTAGCATAACGACATGAAGATACATGAATATCGTGTGTACATGTCAATAATCCATGTAAGCGAGGTAATATCGTTCATACACTGTATGTCAATCAATTGGAAAAAATACTAGACCTGTTTCAAATAGTTATCGGGCGGTCGAGCAGTCTAATGGTTAAAGCGTTCGCTCGTCACGCCGAAGACCCGGGTTCGATGCCCGACATGGGTACAATGTGTGAAGCCCATTTCTGGTGTCCTCCGCCGTGATATTGCTGGAATATTGCTAAAAGCGGCGTAAAATCATACTTACACACTCACTCAAATAGTTATCTTCCCCCAGCTTGGATCCATTCCTTGTCGGCAATATCAAACGTCCCAGATAAAGTGTTAGTTAGAGAGTGAACTTGTTAAGTAGCGTCACTAGAGTTAGGCAATCTTGCCCAATTCACTATATTCACCAGTCATGTCACGTGATGTGCTGTCAAGTGTTTCATACGTCCGTGGTTCTGTTGGCATGTATATATCCCGATCTGTCGTTTCAGCCACTTCACCAGATTCCTCACCCTCCAGATATGGCTTCTCTGTGTTGAGTGTGCAATATGTCTCTTCTGGTCCCTGGATTTCACGTGACATGACACTGAGGCCATCGTATGTTCGGGCTTCAAGTTGAGTTTCGTCGTTGTCTCTTGATTGTTTTGTTGGAACCTTTGACAGATGACTTGTGTTGTAGTAATCATGTGAATCAGATTCCTGCGGTGATAGTCTGAAAAATAGAAATATGAAATATGAAACATAAGTCATAAAATCTTCTTCACGTTAATACAAAGCTCTCAAAACCAATCCATATGATGAGTAGCAAATAGTTTTATTACATTACTTGCTATGTTTTTTAATCAAAGTAATATCATCATGTGTACTGGAAATGTAATGAATTGTTGAATATGATTGGACCAGACATCAAGTACCTTCGTCTCCTTCTCAAGATAACAACACCAACGGCAGCCCCTGCAACTACCAAGACAACAATTGTTGTCACTGTCACTGCAGGTATAAGTATTTCCTCACCCCCGACTGGGTTGTTTTGCTGAGGTAAAGATGCTGGAAAAGAAGTTACACTTGTAATGTGAGGTGAGGTGAAATTGGGTTTAACGTCGCGTCCAAGATTATTGCACTTATATAGCGACGTGCATGCACGTGTATGTGTGTGTGTGGCTGCTTGTACTAGTCCGGACTGATGCGGATTTATAGTGCTAGCTCACTGAGATACCATGCCGCAGTTTAACATGAATACCCCACTCAGACACAGTATACTGACTCCGAGCCGACCAGTCCTTGTTTAAGCCCCTTAATGCCGAGCGCCAGACAGGGTAACAACAAGTACAATCTTTTAACGTCTTTTAGTATGACGCGGCCCGGGATCGAACCCTGGATCTTCCGCTGTCCGGGCGGACGCTCTACCACAAGACCACGGAGGCGGTTTACACTTGTAATGTCGTAATGAACAATTTGTTAATGGAGAATAATATACTGTGCCTTCACAAGTTTGAATATGATCACTTTTGAGGATACTATTTATTCTTTTGATTAAAGCGCAATCACATCTGTCACAGCACTTATATTATTAATGCCTGTCTTATATTCAATCTGTTTGTGTAAACGGTTGCAGCACGTAATCCCTTCTCGAATACACCTTCCGAACCTTCTGACGCATTCCAATCGTTACATTTAGAAAATCAATCATGTGTGTATTTTAACGTAGATGTTTCGAACGTACATTTGGCGGTTATTAGTTATTAGTGATGAGGCTTTGAGCCAAATAGTTTCAGTGGGGTAAAAGAGCGAATCCACTTTTAAAGATCATGCACCAAAACCTTAATTGTCACCATTATTCTTAAACCACTTCATTGAGACACGATACAAGAACGTGGGCAGATATCCTGCAAGCATTATTCAAACTGACATCCCCAATGACGCGACCTTTGTATTGTATGCATGACGTTATAAAGATCTAAAGATTAAAAACCTAGCATTCTGATAAGTTAGACATGTCGTGAAAGTACATGAAAGAGTTTCACCAAAAGCCATGCCATGTTGATATTACTGAGTGAGTGAGTGAGTGAGTGAGTGAGTGAGTTGGGTTTAACGCGGCTTTTAACAGTATTCCAGTTATATCGCGGCGTTGTTGATGTTAATTTTACAATACCATCTCAATATTGAGATAAATTGACACATTGTCTGTAAATAATGTAACAACTGAACTGTAACATAGCAAGGTTGATGACGTAAGATCAGTATTTGAAATCACCAAACGGGCGGGTTTGCGAAAGAAGTGCTTCTAAATAAATATCGGCTTTCACAGTAATTCGATAATCAGAAAAAAATAATGGCTTGCTTAAGAACGTTCTAGATTGCATTATGTCAGCAACGATGAGCACAATTAAGGTTTATCATTGTAATGGCTAGATTTACCAATACAATAATATAACCAAAATATACACACCCTAATATGTAGATACCTAACATGTGTGTTAATAAACCTGACAGTTGGTAACTGCAATCGGTGATGCTGACCTTTTCGCTGGTGTCGCATGTATCCTTCAACACAGCTTGATTATTTATTACACATCCTCGATGCTTGAGAATATGTATGGTCATCATGGCTATCCAAACATATGTTCTGATTAAACCAATGGTGTTATTACCTGTACAGTCCGTTTGCGCCCAGCCTTTCTCACATCCAGGGGTCACGGTGCCCTGTCCTGTAATTCTGTGATGCTTACCTGTTTAACACTGGGGTCCTATGTGTCTTTCAACACAGTCAGAGGGACACTTGCCTGACATACTGTTACATTTGTAATAACCAGCGCATAGTCCACAAATGGCCTGGAATGCACACTAGAAGATGAACAAAGGGAAATGGAACCTATTGAAATCGAATCTGAGCATGCATTTATAAACCGTTATTGGATATGAGGAAAGTATTTTCTCATCAACACAATGGTTTCATTACCTGTGCAATCGTCCAGTGTCCACCCTGTCTCACATCCTTTGTCACAGTGCCCTGTTGAGTTACAGGAAGACTTCCCCACACAGTGTCTGGAGGCACATGTCTTGTCACAGTTAGCTCCGTAATGTTGGCTGTCACAGGCTAACAACACAAACAAGGAATATTTTATGATCATAAGAAAAGAGATGGGTGAGGAGAAACTGGAAAGAGAAAGGAGAGCAATCAAAAGTAAGACTTAATATACAACATGTTTATTTCATGAACAATAGGAATAATAAGCATGCTAAAAAAAATTGTATTCACTATAGGTAGTATACGTATGGTAACTTCAGGAATGAAATGGACAGATCAACTCGTAGGTGTTTTAGGAACGTTGTACTCATTTCACAGTTAAATGATCAACAGTTAATGTTAATATCTGGTGTACCAACAACGTACACGTATCACGTCTGCTAGACGCCTCATCGTGCTCAATATCAGATGCCTGATTCTCAACTGAGGAATGTGTTGGCATTCCTGACGCATTGCCTGTGACAGTTCCTGGCTCTAACCCTATGTCCTAACTGATGCCGTAGATGTTCGATTGGAATCAGGTCTGGGCTTCGAGAAGGCCAAGGCAGTGAATCATTGTCGTTATGGAGATGGGCAGTCACAGCTCATGCTCGGTGGGTTTGGGCATTGTCGTCCTTGAAGACAGGACAAGTGCATGGTTATCAAATGAGGCACAACAAAACAGCCTGACATCAGTTCAAACTGTCCCGCATGTGTAAGGGTGAAGGGTGGACGCTTTACTGGTCATCTGATATCCTGCTGCTGTCAGTAGACGCCTGACTGGTGCTAAGGTACACTTTGTTGTGGGTATGCCAGGAATGACAAAGAACTCAGCAAGTTGAAATTGGCATCCGTTGTGCCTGGCGTACAAGGACCCTGCCCCTTCTAACACGAGTCTTCCCTGGACGTCCCGACCTCGACAAGTCCCTCACATGTCCAGTAAATATGCGTTTTCTAATGAGTCGACTGATTACAGTGTGATTAACGTTCAACACCGTGGCAATAGCTCAACATGACATTCCAGTTTGATGTTTTTCTCGAATAGTATAGTTTTCAATCATTTCAAAGACAGACTTTCAAATCGGTAGAATTTTCATTCAAAATTAATAGCAGTAAAAAACCTTCTGTCATCAAACAGTAATTTCTCTTCAAGTGGGCATACGGCTCACATAAACGCACCCACAAGGTTGCACAGTTAAGGTGGCTATCATCCTACATGTTGATTATATATCAACAAACAGTGTACCGTTAGACAATCTCAATTATATTTCAATGTTGGTGGTATATATAATCTCCACGTAACCTCAGACGTTCCAATACAGTACAAAACATTTCATAAGGCATATTTTCTTATTTCTTATTTTTATTAAGCCATAGGTTCAGATTACGTGGGGATTTCATCATCTACTGACCGCCGTGTGTTGATGTTTGTCTTAGAGCTAGGGAGCACTTATAATCAAAAAGTAACCACCAACAAATAAAACAACTTTTTGTATTAACATTTGGTATCTTTAAGAATTCCCATTTGATTAAAAAATTGAAATAATTTTAAACACACACACGCACACGCGCGTATATTTGGAATTGGCATGCATTAAGGCAAACTACCATAACAAATGGTAACAAAGCATGCGGTAGGTACCAAGAACCTTTGGTAAAAACACAATGGAACATCACTGGAGCTTTACCCTCTGAAAGCTGAGGGGCGGTCGGGTAGCCTAGTGGTTAAAGCGTTCGCTCTTCACGCCGATGACCCGGGTTCGATTCCCGACATGGGTACAATGTTTGAAGCCCATTTCTGGTGACCCCCGCCGTGATATTGCTGGAATATTGCTAAAAGCGGCGTAAAACCATACTCACTCACTCACTCTGAAAGCTGAAGCAAGATTGAGGAGCACTGGGTTCATCGAACTTTCAGTGACCACCCCTTTTGTTATAAGGACATATATTCCACACGGTGTATACTTGCATGTAGCCATATAAAGCTGTGTATATGTGCAAGACGACTAAACTATGTCTTTACCCGTGGTACAGTCTCCACCCTTCCATCCCGATACGCATCCAGATGTGCATGTTCCTCTCACATGATCGCAAGACGAGTCTCCTGCACATTTTCTTTCTGAACAAGTCATGTTGCAGTCAGCTCCATAGGTTCCATTGTAACATTCTGTGATGGAAGCACTGAGTTACTTTTCTTTGTAAAACATGCATCAAGAAACAAACAAATAAAATATATGTTCGACGAGGGCATCTCCGCTTTGGACATGATTGTCAGATTAACACGAAACAGATGAGCACAGGTTTGATGCTTACAGGACTATGTTCACGAACAAGTCGACATAGAGATAATAAATCAGATAACATAATGTAGCAGAATGTAAATAGTGTGTATCTTAACTTACATATTTTAAATTTAGGTAAATAATTCGGTTAAGTATGGTAATAGCTCCTTAAACTAAACTGAACACTCTCTACTAATCCTTAGGTAAAGCACGGGGTAAAGTTATGTAAGGTCTTTAGTGATATGGTCTAGCTACAGCTTGGCCAGTGATTGACTATCCTATTGTTTCTGAAGCATTTGACCAGGTTTTTAGCTATAAACACTTCAATATTGATCATCTCTGGTCACTGCTGCATTACAACTCTGCATGACCGACAGCACTGTACTGATTGGGGTAAGTTAATTTATATATTTCTAAATTTAATATTTATATTTATCATAAGGAGGTTAGTATTCGATATTTTAGTCTTGTTTAGTAAACTTTTATCATTTAAGTGCATATTTTTTATATAGTGTAATTTGCAGTATGGTCCACATGGTACGCAATGTTGTAAATATATGACTTATTCTTCAAAGTCATGATAAATTAGTGTGCATTATGATATTATGTCATTGCTAGAGTAACCAATTAGAATATAATGTAATTAGTGTTTAACAACTATATTGTTATAAGGTGCTTTCAGTAATTTATATAGTTTATAGCTTGTAGCTGTATCTATTAGAATACATTTATCATTAGCAATAATATACAGCGATGAATGTAATGATATATTGTACAGTATTTTAGTACACTTAGTCTTGTATGAGTTAGTTGATGATTATGTAATACTCTGTGAAAGTGTTGGTAAATATGTACTGATATAGTGCACATATATAGAGAGAGAGCATGTCTGTGTGCGTATTATATGCATTTTGCTTAATTGTGTCATTTCATTATAAGGCAAAGAGGCACATATAAAGCCACACTGTTTGCATTGACGTGATGAGCCGCTGTAACAATAACATTCATCAACTGCACATGAATCACTCAGTGACTGAAATCAGACCATGACATTCAGAGATCAATATTCTTGGTCACAGTTAAATCGATCACCACAATGTTTGTTTGGCTCAGAGTTATACCTATTCTTACAATTGCTCATCCATTCTGCACATAGTCCACGTTGAGTCTTACTGAGGTTAAACCAACTCAAATTAATATAGAGTGCTCATAATATGTGGCTTTGCTAATATTGTATAACGATGCAAATGGTTTATATCTTGATAATTTCTGCCTGCAATGTGAAAAACCATTTCCGTATATGACGTTAGTCCGCATTATGCAGATCAAATATTTCCACATGTATAATTCAACTTGAAATAGCATGACTGAGGGAAATAACATATATCTTCGTTTCAGCTATCTTGAAGTGTGATGTACTTCTCAAACATGTCAAAGAAAGAAGTTTAAACAACGAGTAACATATCACAGAGAGATTAGGCTTCAGAGTTCACTCCATAACTGAGAAAACATATTTAGAATAATGCCAGCGGCAAAAACATAATACAATCATAAATAACATATTCCAATTTGTCAAAATGTACCTTGTGTACAGTCCACACCTCTCCATCCAGGGAGACATCCCTTGTCACATGATCCATTGTAGCGATCACATGACGAGCTGACATCAGAACATTTCCTGTTAGTACATATGTTCAGACAGTTGACTCCATAGTAATCAGCGTCACATTCTACAGGAAAAAAAACACTATTTTTTTTAATCAAGACACTCCTTTCAGGGATAAGTTACAATATGATGTGTAGCTATTACAACGGAATCACAATTTAAATATGATTGCCTACTAATGTGTAAGTATTTGCCAAAAGCACGGATTTATTGCTTTTCAAAGACAGGACCCATCAGCTTAAATGTCTACAATTGCAGTTCATATAATATTGTACGTAGGTTTTGTCAACTTCATATTTTACCACCGGCTCCATAACACGTTATTTCATGCCACCGACGAGTGTCAAAATGATCATGTTTACATAGTTAGCTTCTTGACGCATTTTTCAAAATGAAACACACTTTATTTTCAGTCATCGCTACTTAAATGCGGAAGATATGTTCAATTACATCAATTACATTACCACATTCGCTAACTGACACTCACGCTGATGACCAAAATAATAATGTCATTCAATAACCTCATTCAACCGTGTAACATGCTTGTCAGCCATAGCCCTTCACTGCACCCCTCTACCTTTGTTCGGCTGTTCCGAAGACACACACCTGTCTCCCTGGTCTACAGTCTCCAGGAAACACACCTCAATCCCTCATCTGTATCACAACTGTCTCCCTTCTGTCCCGGTCTACACTGTCAAGGACAAACATCACTGACTTAATCTCCTCACCAGTATCACACCTGCCTCCCCGGTCTACAGTCTCCAGGAAACACACCTCTTACTCAATCCCCTCATCTGTTTCACAACTGTCTCCCTTCTGTCCCGGTCTACAGTGTCAAGGACAAACATCACTGACTTAATCTCCTCATCTGTATCACACCTGCCCCCCTGCCATCCAGGTCCAGAGTATCCAGGACACCCATCTACTGAATGAATCTCATCACCTGTATCACACCCACCTCCCTTTTCAACACACCGGGAAACACATCGCTGCATCAATTTCTTCATGAAGCTGATAAAACTGGAATACTGTTCAACGCATAGTTAAACCCAACTCATCAACCAATTTGGCCTAATTCTAGTGTTTTGATTCCGAAGAGGAATGCTGACTCATGTGCATAAAAAATAGATCAGTAAGGAGGGGAGCGCAATTGGTACCTAATTCCTGTCTAAATGTCCTATCTGTATTTGCATTGATGTTGTTTTCTCAGTAAACCTCATTACAGTACAATCAGCATGGTACGCTATATTGTCGCCGTAGTTAAATTATAATGGCTCGAAATGGCGAATGTTTACCAACTCATCAGCTATGTCATACGCAAAATGTTTCTTGTTCTCTATTAAACTTTTATGACACATCAATTTGGATGGATCGATGCTGGTTTTCCTTACCGAGTTCAGTAAACAAAATACTTGTAAGTGGCGATTGAAGGGCGGGAAACTCTATATTATCGCGGTGTCACTTAATTGTTGGTGATACGTGTGGATTATGTGGTTTACATCACTTCCTATTTTTGATTATGCCTAATCAGTATGCATACAAAATAGGTCGGGTCCAAGGACATTGTCCAAACAAGTGATTTCTTTTCTAACCAATTTGGAATGAAGGTAGGGGCAATTCCACTTAAAAAAATTTCCAGGAATATCATCAATAAAGTTAACGTGTGACATTAAGTCCTGTATTCGATCATGCGGTGAAAAAGTGTGCTAAGTTTTGCATAAGTAAAAAGTTGACAGGGGATCTAGCTCACGCGATTAACCGACACCGCGACAATATAGAGCCCGCGAGTCATACTATACTTACCTGTCTACAGACTTCACGATACACACCACTGACTGAATCTCCTCACCTGTATCACATCTGTCTCCATGTCACCCTGGTCTATACTCTTTAGGACAAACACCACTGACTGAATCACCTCAACTATCACATCTGTCTCCCTGCTCCCTTTGTCCACAGTCTACAGAACACACATCGCTGCCTGAATCTCCTCACCTATATCACATCAGTCTCCCTGCCACCCTGGTCTACAGTCTCCAGGACACACACCACTGACTGAATCTCCTCACCTGTATCACACCTGTCTCCCTGCCATCCTGGCCTACAATCTCCAGGACACACACCATAGACTGAATCTCCTCACCTGTATCACATCTGTCTCACTGCCAGCCTGGTCTGCTCTCTCCAGGACACACACCACTGACTGAATCTCCTCACCTGTATCACACCTGTCTCCCTGCCATCCTGGTCTACAATCTCCAGGACACACACCACTGACTGAATCTCCTCACCTGTATCACACCTGTCTCCCTGCCATCCTGGTCTACAATCTCCAGGACACACACCACTGACTGAATCTCCTCACCTGTATCACACCTGTCTCCCTGCCACCCTGGTCTACTCTCTCCAGGACACACACCACTGATTGAATCCCTCACCTGCACCACATCTGTCTCACCGCCACCCTGGTCTACAGTCTCCAGGACACACACCACTGACTGAATCTCCTCACCTGTATCACACCTGTCTCCCTGCCACCCTGGTCTACTCTCTCCAGGACACACACCATAGACTGAATCTCCTCACCTGTATCACACCTGTCTCCCTGCCATCCTGGCCTACAATCTCCAGGACAAACACCACTGACTGAATCACCTCAACTATCACATCTGTCTCCCTGCTCCCTTTGTCCACAGTCTACAGAACACACATCGCTGCCTGAATCTCCTCACCTATATCACATCAGTCTCCCTGCCACCCTGGTCTACAGTCTCCAGGACACACACCACTGACTGAATCTCCTCACCTGTATCACACCTGTCTCCCTGCCATCCTGGCCTACAATCTCCAGGACACACACCATAGACTGAATCTCCTCACCTGTATCACATCTGTCTCACTGCCAGCCTGGTCTGCTCTCTCCAGGACACACACCACTGACTGAATCTCCTCACCTGTATCACACCTGTCTCCCTGCCATCCTGGTCTACAATCTCCAGGACACACACCACTGACTGAATCTCCTCACCTGTATCACACCTGTCTCCCTGCCACCCTGGTCTACTCTCTCCAGGACACACACCACTGATTGAATCCCTCACCTGCACCACATCTGTCTCACCGCCACCCTGGTCTACTCTCTCCAGGACACACACCACTGATTGAATCCCTCACCTGCACCACATCTGTCTCACCGCCACCCTGGTCTACAGTCTCCAGGACACACACCACTGACTGAATCTCCTCACCTGTATCACACCTGTCTCCCTGCCACCCTGGTCTACTCTCTCCAGGACACACACCATATACTGAATCTCCTCACCTGTATCACACCTGTCTCCCTGCCATCCTGGCCTACAATCTCCAGGACAAACACCACTGACTGAATCACCTCAACTATCACATCTGTCTCCCTGCTCCCTTTGTCCACAGTCTACAGAACACACATCGCTGCCTGAATCTCCTCACCTATATCACATCAGTCTCCCTGCCACCCTGGTCTACAGTCTCCAGGACACACACCACTGACTGAATCTCCTCACCTGTATCACACCTGTCTCCCTGCCATCCTGGCCTACAATCTCCAGGACACACATCATAGACTGAATCTCCTCACCTGTATCACATCTGTCTCACTGCCAGCCTGGTCTGCTCTCTCCAGGACACACACCACTGACTGAATCTCCTCACCTGTATCACACCTGTCTCCCTGCCATCCTGGTCTACAATCTCCAGGACACACACCATAGACTGAATCTCCTCACCTGTATCACACCTGTCTCCCTGCCATCCTGGCCTACAATCTCCAGGACACACACCACTGACTGAATCTCCTCACCTGTATCACACCTGTCTCCCTGCCACCCTGGTCTACTCTCTCCAGGACACACACCACTGATTGAATCCCTCACCTGCACCACATCTGTCTCACCGCCACCCTGGTCTACTCTCTCCAGGACACACACCACTGATTGAATCCCTCACCTGCACCACATCTGTCTCACCGCCACCCTGGTCTACAGTCTCCAGGACACACACCATAGACTGAATCTCCTCACCTGTATCACACCTGTCTCCCTGCCACCCTGGTCTACAATCTCCAGGACACACACCACTGACTGAATCTCCTCACCTGTATCACACCTGTCTCCCTGCCACCCTGGTCTACAGTCTCCAGGACACACACCGCTGATTGAATCTCCTCACCTGTATCACATCTGTCTCACTGCCAGCCTGGTCTGCTCTCTCCAGGACACACACCACTGACTGAATCTCCTCACCTGTATCACACCTGTCTCCCTGCCATCCTGGCCTACAATCTCCAGGACACACACCATAGACTGAATCTCCTCACCTGTATCACACCTGTCTCCCTGCCATCCTGGCCTACAATCTCCAGGATACACACCACTGACTGAATCTCCTCACCTGTATCACACCTGTCTCCCTGCCACCCTGGTCTACTCTCTCCAGGACACACACCACTGATTGAATCCCTCACCTGCACCACATCTGTCTCACTGCCACCCTGGTCTACAGTCTCCAGGACACACACCACTGACTGAATCTCCGTACCTGTATCACACCTGTCTCCCTGCCACCCTGGTCTACAGTCTCCAGGACACACACAACTGACTGAATTTCCTCCCCCGCATCACATCGGTCTCACTGCCACCCTGGTCTACTCTCTCCAGGACACACACCATAGACTGAATCACCTCACCTATATCACATCAGTCTCCCTGCCACCCTGGTCTACAGTCTCCAGGACAAACACCACTGACTCAATCACCTCACCTGTATCACATCTGTCTCCCTGACACCCTGGTCTACAGTCTCCAGGACACACACCATAGACTGAATTTCCTCACCTGCATCACACCTGTCTCCCTGCCACCCTGGTCTACAATCTCCAGGACACACACCACTGACTGAATCACCTCACCTGTATCACACCTGTCTCCCTGCCATCCTGGTCTACAGTCTCCAGGACACACACCACACACTGAATCTCCTCACCTGTATCACACCTGTCTCCCTGCCACCCTGGTCTAGTCTACAGGACACATACCACAAACTGAATCTCCTCACCTGCATCACACCTGTCTCCCTGCCATCCTGGTCTACAGTCTCCAGGACACACACCACACACTGAATCTCCTCACCTGTATCACACCTGTCTCACTGCCACCCTGGTCTACAGTCTCCAGGACACACACCACTGACTGAATCACCTCACCTGTATCACATCTGTCTCCCTGACACCCTGGTCTACAGTCTCCAGGACACACACCACTGACTGAATCACCTCACCTGTATCACATCTGTCTCACTGCCACCCTGGTCTACAGTCTCCAGGACACACACCACTGACTGAATCACCTCACCTGTATCACATCTGTCTCCCTGACACCCTGGTCTACAGTCTCCAGGACACACACCATAGACTGAATATCCTCCCCTGCATCACATCTGTCTCCCTGACACCCTGGTCTACAGTCTCCAGGACACACACCACACACTGAATCTCCTCACCTGTATCACACCTGTCTCCATACCACCCTTGTCTACAGGACACACGACACACACTGAATCTCCTCACCTGTATCACACCTGTCTCCCTGCCACCCTGGTCTACAGTCTCCAGGACACACACCACTGACTGGGTCACATGCTGCTTGGAGGCAATGGCAGAACTGATTGCAGCTAACCCCGAAGACTCCTGGACTGCAAACTTGATATAGGATGATAGTGAATATCCTTGTTTCCAATGGTCTTTTAGTGTGTGGTTACAGAAGTGTCACTGATATATGAATAGTATTTGCACTATTGCTTCCACTAACAGGTTATCTGCGGTCCCATATAACAACACTACGGTGTTTATTCAATATGTGATTGCATGTAAAATAGGCACTGGGTCTAGATTAATTCCTCGTTGTGACATTTTACGGAGATATGCAAGTAAAATAACCAAATAGCCATTCTCAATCGCACTTAAATTACTTTTGCTGGACAGTTTTCCTTTAACTGTGAAAATAAATGAATATTTGAATGGCGAAATGATATACTATATTCATAGACCCGTGAAGATCCGGGGTAGAATAGGTCTTCAGCAACCCATGCTTGCCGTAAAAGGCGACTATGCTTGTCGCAAGGGGCGAATAACGGGATCGGGTTGTCAGGCTCGCTGAGGTGGTTGATGTATGTCATCGTATCCCAATTGCGTGGATCGATGCTCATGATGTCAATCACTGGATTGTCTGGTCCAGACACGATTATTTACAGACCGCCGTCATATAGCTGGAATGTTGCTGAGTGCGGCGGTAAACAACAAACAAACCAAACCAAACCAAACCAAACTCTATCCATTAGTGTCGCCCTCTTATACAACAATGCATTCACATTAACGCAAACTTACCCTTCACGAATGTAAGCTGTGGGTGGAAATTGATATGGCAACTTGTGCCCATGCTTCCAATGTCGGGGTCAAGACCCTTAAAAGATTCAAAATAAATGTCGAATATCAAGGCACCATCTGTTGGCACAAATTGAGATAGTTATAGGTCGAACAAATCGGGGCCTAACCATATTCTTATACACAAAAATATGATGCATGGGCATGTTGTATTCCTTTGATTTTGATGGACATAACTGAATAATTTGATTATCTTTATACTATGCCAATATGATTGATATATTCATTCTCTCATCGGGAAAGGATTCCTTTAAGATAAAGATTACACTTCTGAAAATACCATACCATAAATTTCTACTTCACACAGATTCAAGTGCGTGGGATCAGTGATGGTGAAGTATCTCCCTATTCCATCACAGACAATATCGTAGATACCGTTGCCAATGACTGATGTGTTGGACGGGAAGGTGTAGCAGGGAACACTGGTTGTATTGCTGGTGTTGCTCAGGTAGAGTGCAGCCGTGCGAATTCGAGCAAGATCTGTAATAAGTATCAGTTCAAATAAATGATCAATACTAAATTTGCATTGTAGTCGGTAGACAACGAGCAGCTGACAATGCTCCTGAATTTTCGAAACGGTGACTGTGCTAATATACTCACAGTGCACAAACGTTATTATAATTGTATGTACAGAGGTATACAGAGTATAACTATATGCTTTAACCTAGTTAAACCTTACTATAATTATATGGCGGCTTTTACATATACTAGTCTGGGCCAGGCCAACCTGTGGTTGACATTATCTGCAACATCCCAAGCCGTCTTTGAACGATGACACGAAGTCAAGTCACCAAGCCTGATGACCCGATAAGAAAATACATACCTCACAACAATTAAAAGAACTATTCCAATCCTGGTCCCCATGGGGTGACCTGATATGTAACACTATATTATGTAAAGAAGACAATTTGATCGTGACTTCACAGTGTCAATGCATAAAAATCATACGAAGTTTCTGATGATATATCCTGACATCATGTATCCTGTAGTCGTCTCCCAGATCCACTGTCCACGAACTCATAACGTTGTCCTCAGAGTTGAAACAGGAGTGTCGGTACACATCCTGGTTAGAGTTCCCATCTACAGCTTTGTCTGCAGTCCAGACAGATGACCACAGTGCAGTAGGGGATGAGGCGTCTTTTCCTAAGGCAACGTTTTCTGTTTTGATATCAACACAACATTTCATTCAAGTAATGAACACAAGAAGTGTCCAGAATAGACATTACACTGTAATAGGCAAACATATCCATTCAAAACCAAACCTATGAATACATATAACCTGCATTACGAGTGAGTGAGTATGGTTTTACGCCGCTTTTAGCAATATTCTATAAATATCTCGGCGGGGGACACCAGAAATGGGCTTCATACATTGTACCCATGTCGGGAATCGAACCCGGGTCTTCGACGTGACCAGCGAACTTTTTAACCACTAGGCTATCCGACCGCCCCCTGCATTACGAATTATCAAACGAATTTTATACTTTAAAACGGTTTTGAAGAAACATATACGCATAGCAGAAATTTACTAACAACTCAGTCAATACACCCACCCACTTGTCCAACTTCTTAATCCTCTTAGCCAACCTCTAATCACTCACTCGGATTGGTTCAACTGGACCTGGTAAAACAGTAAGTCGCGGCCACTTTTGCTCGAGTTCCTTTGAGTACATATATCCTTCATTGCATTATCAAACTCATTTTATACTTTTCAAATGGTTTTGAAGAAACATATACGCAGAGCAGACATGCCCTCAACTCATATTCATCCTGTGTTTCATGTCTGTACCATACCAGTGCTCTCTGTTTTCACCAAACAGGTAAACATTTAACACCTGCCTCACTTTGGTCTTCAAGCTGACAGCCTCACACGCCCATATTTAAGTGAAATACTGTCACATTGAAACTCACTCACTCACCCACCCATCTAACCAGCCACAAACACACCAATACACACAAGCACTGACCCAACCAGCTAACATCACTCACTCACTCATTCACTCTCACAACCAGCCCAAACCCTACTCAATCACTCAGTTGTACAAGTACCAGAACACCCACTCAAACCTATTCTCTCACCCACTCAAGAACTCACTCGCCCAGCCAGTCATGCTTTTTAATTATATCCCTACCTTTCTGGCAGGTTCCCCCATTTCCTCCAACCCAGCCTCTATCACAGACACCTCCACAAACACCAGTTGTCTGGTTACAGGACCGTCCACAGTGACAGGTGTAGCTACACGAATCTCCGAATGTTCCCCGGGAACAGGAACCTGGGGAGATATACATATAGACAGTTAAAACTGCACGAATTTTGTTCATGCAGCCAAAAGTAACCTGGCCAGTCGTGCAGTCCTTACTTTTCCCCTTAACGCAAAGCCCCAGACAGCGTAACAACAAGTGTAATCTCTTAATTTCTTTTGTATGAGACGGCTTGGGGATCGAACCACCGACCTAACTCCCTCCAGACACAGAGACGGTTTGTTGAACAGATGGTATCAATCAAAATTATGATATATGTATTTTCTCTAAGTCGTTACATTGAGACATCAGTAAACCTCATAATATCCATGTGCAAATGTTATTCACTGTTATATCCTTATGAAACTTTATCTTTATAATGTATTTCTGAGTTGTTTGGAAATACCATACATGTAGATAAGTACAAATCTAATCTTAATTGAAAAACACTCTGCTGGTGTGGAATATAACTTAGATGTCGGCAGGTTGTTTGAGTCACTCTCATTTCTCAATGGACGTCTCAGAACCTGGATTGTTGAAAACCCAGTTAGCTGTTGGCTGGTATGAATTATACAAAGGCTAGACCTCCACCAATAGTCCATTCTCTGGTAAATTTGTTTTCAATTCTGTCATTACATTACACTTCTATCCACGCTAACACACAAGTTCCGTCAGTGTTATACACATGTTAGGCAGTGTAACAATTGATAACGTTATATGGTTTTTTCTGATTTAGTTAGATTGTAACGTTGTTATAAAATGTCACGTTGCGAGGTCATCGTTTGAGCATGCAGTGCTAACGATGTTCACAACCTTAATCTGAAATATGATGTGCATTATTGTTTACTTCAGATCCTTTTCTAAATTTCCCCTCGTAATTTCATTCAAGTCCAATTTTGTTAGCCATTGTTGTTTTAAGAGTATGATTCAATCAGTGTTGGACGTCTTAGCATGAGTCTCTGCTCTTGTGATATGGGATATTATTCTGAATACATAACGTGTATATACTTTTCTGACCATTGTACATCACCGTCATCTACAACCTTACCCCCTTCAAGCAACCCATTAACTGGTCCACAATGCTCAGTCTTACGTACAGTGATTGTCTTGGCGTTGCAACAATGATGCAAAATGTGGTAGTGACATTACAATAATCGACATAAAGATATAATGTGTATTCAATAACGAAGCATTGCGTGTCACTCACCAATGATATCCTGTATCCAGCAAGCCGATGTGAAAACGATGACAGTCAGTATCCACATACCCGCCATGTTTGACAACCAGGAAGTTGTTTCCGCTTGACTGAATAGGTGGGGCACCTGATGTTGCTCGCCGTTAAAATAAACATGGACGTCTATAAGTCAGGCGAGGACTCCTTTCATACAATGTAAATATCTGTAATGCATGTCTGTCTTTGTCCTGTATCATGCTTAAAGCACAGAGAAGGCTCAGATTTCATATTCAAGCAAACGTTAAGTCTCATTTCAGTCAACTCAACAACTGACATGGATATGTTGGTAGTTTTATGGTATACAGCTTTCAAAATATGTCGTACATTGAAGTGTATTTTAACACATAAAATGGACACGTTTATGGCCAAGTCACACTTTCTGGTGGTACGTTATTGTTGAGTGGGGGGCACGGATGGCCCAGTCGTCTAAGGCGCCGCGAGTCGCTGTGCAGAGTTGCGCCCTTGCAATACAGAAACCTATGATTGTGGGCTCGAATCCCGTTCGCTCCGATTATGTTTCTAGGTTTGTCAGCACCATACCCGTTCTCGTGGTTTTCACCGAAGTGGTAAACGTCCGAGACCTGCATCCCGTCGGGCTTTCCTCCCACATTAAGTTGACACGCCGTGATATAACTGGAATACCGTTAAAAGTGGCGTTAAACCCAACTCACTCACTCATTGTTGAGTGTCAGATATACGTCACCGCATATGTCGAGCTCTTTTCATAAAGTGAGAAAGTATCTGAAATGCATGTCTGTCTTCATCCTTTATCATGAAAGTAAACATAGAAAAGGCTCAGAATTCATATTCAAACAATCATTAAGTCTCATTTGGTTCAAATCGGCAAGGAAAGGATATGTCGATGTACATATTTCAAAATATTTAGTAAATCAAGTGTATTGTAATACACAACATGAACACATTTTGTGATGGTATGTTGTTGTTATGTGTCCCATTACCGATCACCGCATTAAGTGAGAAAAGTCTAACTTTCCCCGGTTTATGAATCAGACATGATCACTTAATGCCCTGAATGACACAAAAACAATAGGTATTCTGTGTGTAGGAATCATACACTCTCCCTCACTGTGATATGGTACTAATGACACACCGTGATAATATAATTAATGAGAGTGATACGCACGACTTTTGTGTTATAGTCGTCATCAGCAAGTGTAACTATCGGCGAAATGAAGAGTATTGAAGCAGATGTTGCATGCGTCATTTCTAAGACAGTTATAATTCCGAAATATTGTCGATAGATGAAAACATCCACACGGAACATGATACATTGTGACTGTATGCTGTGTATTCGAGAACACCTCGAGTGTGAATTCGGGTGGTTTCATCAACGTAATCGCACAACGCCAAGCTGCTGTACACAAATAGGGAAAAAATGCCATCAGGAAAAAACACACTTCCTCCTAGTTTTAGGTAAAAGTTAAAATGCCATTATCATAAATAGGCTATTTAAGTACGTTATCACATTTTGGTACGTGTATGTTTAAAACTCAACTTGAAAGGATGTATATCACAGCATGGTGTGATTTGGTCTCAGTGGATATAAAAAAGAACTAGTATACTTCCCTGTGACAATATCAACGCTTAACAATACCTCTGGCTCTCGTGAAGAGCAACCTCCTCGTGGTGAGTGCTGGGTAACGCTAATCGCTCTTCCCCCGTGTGGAACCGGGGTAGAATATTTCCACAGCCTCCCATTGCTTGTCGTATGAGGCGACTAAAATGGGCAACCTGTTTGCCGTGGGTTGCGTCCCTGTGTCGGCGGAGGACGGGAGTCTGGTAGTTGAGGGCACTGGTTCCTGGAACTGTGTTCCTTTGCCCAACACACTACTTCGACCCTTACTTCGCCTAGACGGGTGGTAAGATGGGCCCGGTCTTATCAATCGGCTGGTCATGCCAGGCCCTGTGCGTAATATTGTATCTGCACACATGTGTTGTATTTTATTGTATATTTTGGTCTTGGCCATGCATACCTTGTGTATGTTCTCAATTTTGGATTGTATACATTGCCTAGAGTCTTACGCCAGAAGGCGGTGGCTCATGGGCAAATCTGGTACTTTCGACCTCTGAGTTCTGTATGTCTTCAATTTCTTGCCATGGGCCGAACCAGCCTGACATTTTATTTGATAGACAAATACAGCTATTCATGTTGTTCTTACTGGAGTATAACACCTCTGTATCCCTGATGTTTGCATGTTGGAGATCCGGTGCAATAAAACTCTTTGTAGCACTCCATGGCGGGTGGGGAGCAGGGGTGCTGAATCAATTACTTTCATCATGGCTCACAATCACTCTGGTTCGAACCGCAAAGAAAAGAAGAGACGTCTGGAAACTGAGATTTTATCATCTGATGATGATGTTTCTGTCATACCAAATAATAATTCTTGGGCACGTTTTTTGGTAGTTGAATCCAGAAATGAATTACCACTAAAAATAAATCCTTTTGCCATATCTAAAGCCATTGCAGGTATTTGTGGTGAAGTTCAGAATGTTTCACGGCTCCGGGGCGGTTCTCTTTTGGTAGAGTGTGCACGGAGACAGCAAGCTGTTAATCTTTTGAAATGTACTACATTTGCAAACACTGAAGTTGCTGTCTCTGCGCACAGAACGTTGAACTCGAGTCGGGGGATCATCCACGACAGAGCCCGTTGTCTGGCGGAAATGAATGAAGATGATATTCTTGACGAACTCAAAGATCAACATGTCACTTCAGTGTAACGGTTTACTAGAAAGGACGGAGAAAACATTATCAAAACAAATACTTATTTGTTCACATTTGCACTGTCGACTATACCACAATCAATTAAGGCAGGCTATTTTAACATCGGAATGGAGGTGAATGTCCCCAATCCACTCCGATGTTACCAGTGTCAGAAGTTTGGGCATGGCTCCAAATCATGCGATCGGCCGATTGTTTGTCACCGTTGTGGTGCAAATCATGACGCCTCAGATTGTACAGCTGACCCCAAATGTGCTAATTGTATGGGTAAACATGTTGCGTCTTCGAAATCCTGTCCTCTTTGGAATCATGAAAAGGAAATCTTAACTGTCAAATGTAAAAACAACATTTCTTTTCAGGAGGCTAAAAAAGTCGTTGCCAGCCGGTCACCTCCATCAGCGCACACCTATGCTGCTGCTGTCTCTCGACCTTCTACCACAAGATCTATAGAATGTCAAACTGACTTGACATGAACACACTCTGAACACCCTGTGCCTATGGTTACAACATCAGAGAGTCAGACCAATGATTCAGATAGTCAGTCATGTGACATCTCTTCAGAATCTCAGGTTGTGACTCAGACTATGGCCCCACCTAAACCAACTTCTGAATTACCAGCACCTAACAAACTTTCGCCTGAAATGCCCAAAAAACAAAAGAAGAAACAAAACAAGAAAATTTCTACTAAGATCCCTACTCTCACTGAAACATCTGTTGATGTTCACAATTACTTTGATCCTCTCGAGATGGATGTTACTCCATCTTCCATGAGTGGTGACTCTTCTTCACGTTCACGTGAGCGATCTCCTATAGAACCGCCATGACCCATTCAAATATATTTCAATGGAATTGCCGAGGAATTAGGCACAATTTTAACGAACTGCAATTATTAACAACAGATTTAAGTCCATCAGCAATTTCTTTACAAGAGACGTACCTAAAAAATACAGATAAATTTGATTTAAGGCAGTATAGTTCGTATCATTCCTTCTCTCCTCCGGGAGATAAAGCTACTGGAGGTGCTTCTATTTTGGTGCGGCGGGGCGTTGTTCACACTC